TTAACCATTCAGAACCAGTCTTAACCATTCAGAACCAGTCTTAACCATTCAGAACCAGTCTTAACCATTCAGAACCAGTCTTAACCATTCAGAACCAGTCTTAACCATTCAGAACCAGCCTTAACCATTCAGAACCAGTCTTAACCATTCAGAACCAGTCTTAACCATTCAGAACCATTCTTAACCATTCAGAACCATTCTTAACCATTCTTAACCATTCAGAACCATTCTTAACCATTCAGAACCATTCTTAAGCATTCAGAACCATTCTTAACCATTCAGAACCATTCTTAACCATTCAGAACCATTCTTAACCATTCAGAACCATTCTTAACCATTCAGAACCATTCTTAACCATTCAGAACCATTCTTAACCATTCAGAACCATTCAGAACCATTCTTAACCATTCAGAACCATTCTTAACCATTCAGAACCATTCAGAACCATTCAGAACCATTCTTAACCATTCAGAACCATTCTTAACCATTCAGAACCATTCTTAACCATTCAGAACCATTCTTAACCATTCAGAACCATTCAGAACCATTCAGAACCATTCTTAACCATTCAGAACCATTCTTAACCATTCAGAACCATTCTTAACCATTCAGAACCATTCTTAACCATTCAGAACCATTCAGAACCATGCTTAACCATTCAGAACCATTCTTAACCCAAGATCCAAATCTTCGCTTCGCGGAGGTCCCCCAGTCATCACCTCCGATGGCATCCTCTGCGCGGCTTGCGCAGCATCCAGTGCCGGCGGTCTGGCGGGCGAGCAGATGCAGCATTTGTTGTGGCTGGGTGAAGCCATGGGAGGTTGTGAGGAGCCATGGTGAAGCCCAAAATCATGCAGAACTTGTGGGTTTTGGGAGGAAAACATAGGAAAACTTGTATGATCTTGTGAATTTTAAGATTTTTGAGAGGAATACCTTAGAAAACCATTGTTTCAGGAGGTCTTAATTGTAAGAACCCCCCACATGTTGACAATGTTGATGCTGATGTGATGAAATTATGATCGGACTGCGACGTCACAACGTAACAGATAATGGCCCAATGTCTCAGGTTGGTGAATTACATCTTACATCAGATTATGCAGAAAGCTGATGTGATTTGATGATATTTGATGTATGTTTCTTACACCTGCTCTTTTTGAGACATCGTTGGTCATACTTGGACTTCGAACACAGCAACTTTTGGAAGAATTGAGCTGTTGGACTATAGGACTAGGCGAACCTTTGTGGCTGTATGTGGCTGTGAAATTCCACAGCAGCAACATCATTTTCCGTTGAAGGGTCTTGAGTGCTCAATTATTGTTGTGTCAAATGGATTCAAATGGTGTAACCTCATCTTGCTTTTGGGGGGATACTCCTAAGTTGTCACTCAAGAAAATATGAAGCAAAAAGACTTGCCACATATCCACACTATATCCATGAACATCCTGCCTTATAAAAATGTTCCTCATATCCTCCATCATATCCATTCGTAAAGTTATCTGAGATTCTCCATTCCAAAAACATGCGGAATATCTTGAAGAAACATGAAGAAACTATCTCATACCATGATATCATATGATATCCATCCATCATAAGATCTTCATATCTTCCATCGGGATCCATATGAAAACATCCTGCCAACATGTGGAAAAATTCATGATCTACCCTCCGGTAATGACTAGCAGAGCGAACTGGAAAATCACCATGTTCACTAGGTAAATCATATGCATGACAATAATGTTTCTTAAATCATGAACAAAAGGGCCATTGTCTATGGCTATGTTACGTAACCAGCGGGTATCATCAAATATCCATCATGAGATTCCAAATATCCAAATCATATCCTCCACAAAAGCCATCCCATTGTTGATGATCAGTCCCATATTACCCTGTGGTTCCCCGTTAATTGTATTATAATCACTATTGGTGATGGTGAAAAACATGTCCTATTCTTATCCCATTATCATTATCCATCCCATAGTAAACAAGCAGCTTTTTAGTTGAAACTGCAATGTTTTTGTTTTTCGGATTTTTCCCTGATGTTCAGACAAATCAAGATCATCATATTGTGTGTTGTATAATAAAAAAATATCACACATTCTGGTTGGTCTAAAATCCCATTGTATCCCCCTTATATTCAATTATATACCCATTTTATACATAGTGTATACATATAGTTATGATATATATATATATATATGTGTGTGTGACATCCTCCGTTTGGAAGATCTACTTGGGGTGCAGTTGAGGCTACTGTAAAATGGATGCAAACCGGCCATGGTATGGAAAAGCCCCAAAAGTTGGGATATGCGGCCACTATAATTGGGAAATCTATCTACTTAGTTCACTGGAACTGCACTTCCAAGTGTTAATATATATATAGTACTTACATGTACTTACAACATACTGTTCGTATATACACCAACCTGGACTAAGCAGTTCGTTTTCCAATATGTATATCATATAGTATGTATATACCATCTGGTAAACTAACATAGCGATGTAAAATCACCATTTTTGATAGGACAATCAACTACAAAATGACCATTGCAATAGCTTTATTAAATTTCTAGAGGGTATATCATGATTATCCATCATTAATCATTAACCATGATCAACCATGATCAACCCATTATTCACACATTATTAACCCATTACTAACAATTATCAAACCGATTTCAATAGCTAATGATCAACCATTATTAACCCATTATTAACCCATAAAAATGGTGATTTTCACCCAAGGTTCGAAGATCTAAGGCTCCATTCCAAGTTGTGGACACGGCGTTGGCCTTCGCTTCTTGGGGTCCTGGCTCTCACTGCCGCTCTGGTGATCGAAGCTCCTCCTGAAGTCCCACAGCCTGCGGTGATTCGAGACCAGCCAAAAATAGAGCCCGCGAATGTGGCAATATCATGATATATCATGAAATGTGATATATATATATATATAGACAGAAGAGCAAGTAGATCTTGAATTTAATATTAATTCGACTTTTTTACATACACACATACACACATACATACATACATACATGCATGCATGCATGCATACATGCATACATCCATACATCCATTCATCCATTCATCCATTCATCCATCCATCCATACATACATTGACACTATTGACGTACCATAAATGAGCCTCCCCCTTGTGTCGTCAACACCTTTGCAAGGCGGGGGCAGTCACAGGTGATGTCAGAATGAGAAGCCACGTTGGCCCAAAAAAATCGCACGAAATTAAGTGACCTGGGTGCGGCCCCAGCTAATGCGAAAGCCAGGGTCGGTGGATCTCCCATCGTATAATATATATATATATAAATAATAATTATAATGATAATAATAACAGTAATAATGTTTTTTATTATATGATATATATATATATATGATATATTATATTATATGTCTATACATTCAGTACTTCCATGGAACTCTGGCTTTGATCCCCAGGACCGGTGACGTTTCAACGCCGCAAATGTCCCGAATTGCGCCGCGGCAGCTCTATCTTTTTTCAGCCAAAGGACGTGTCACTTCCGGAAGATCCAAAAAGAAAGTTGAAACGAAACTTGGATCTGGTTGGTGGTTTGGAACATGGGATTATTAATAGGGATATAGGGATTATTAATATACTGGCTAATAATGGTGAATTATTAGTAACTGGTTGGTGGTTTGGAACCATGGAATTTTATGTTTTTCCATATATTTTGGGAATTGCATCATCCCAACTGACGAACTCATATTTTTCAGAGGGGTAGGCAAAAATGGGTCCAACCGTCACGCTGACATGGTGATATGATATTATATGATATGATATGATGTGATATGATATGATATGATATGATGTAATATGATGTAATGTGATGTAATATCATGTAATATCATGTAATATGATGTAATGAGTTTACTGGGTCAAGGGATTGTTGGCATTTTCCCGTTGGTGAAAACATGTGAACACCCTTTGGGACTGGGAGTATCTACAGGGACATGTTTACAGGATTCCCCCCCTCGGTTACCAACGGCCATTGCTCACGGCTAATCCAAGGCGAGATCCAAAAGCGATTGGATGATTTGGGGTGCGAATGCCAGCAGGCCGCTGGGTGGAGGTGTTTTGCTCGCTGGGTGGGGCATGAAGAAATCAAAATGGTTTCAATATTGAGTTTGGTCAAAAAAATAAAGTAAGACCCCCCATAATTTTCGGACAAACCCACATTTACTATAGGATCATCTAGGCTCATCTAGTTCGGCCATAAGAATCAATAGAAAATGCCCAGTTTGAATGGGATAATCAATGACGTTCACGGTGAATGTTGCCATGTTAGATCTCCACAGGGTAGACATTAGCTGCGATCCGCCTGCAAGCGGTGCCAAGGAGTGGTTTGTGGCGACAGGTGCTGGCAACATCCTCTCCACCTGCGGCAAGAATTGTCACAAACTGGAGATTCAGGAGGTCCTGCCATTGCTGGTCGATACAGCCCGACTGAAAGAAGATGAATTTCGGGACTTTGTCAAATGCGCCATGGTCAAGTTGGATTAGTTAGTATATATATATTATATAATTATATAAAAAATATATAATATTATATCAAATGATATTATATTGTATTACATGATTCACCCATGTCATGAATTTGAGGATGATGGTCAATCCATTGTCAATAGGGATTTACTTGCCCATTCTAGGCACTTTTTGTTTTGTAGATTAGATTTGGTCATTCCTTAGTTTCAAAAAGTTGGTGGTCGAACACGTGTGTTTCACCATAGATGCCAGATGAAAGATGTGAAAGTCTGAACTTTGGGGACAATTTTCGGATGCTTGGAATTTTGAGGAACCACCATGTTTGCAGATTCTGAAGTGTATCTTTTGCCATGGTTTAAATCTTATTTCGTGTTGGAGCACGCTGAGAGTTCCCCAGTTGATTCCAGCAGCACACTATCAAAACTGTGATGCAATAAGATGCTTTGAAAATCACTGAAATCATCCCTTTTGGCTTGGATTCCACGTCAAAAACATGATGATTCTTCATGATTCTTCAACAATTTAAGTGTCCTTTCAGTCGTGGAATCAGACACCTCTACCAGCTCCTCAAAGCCGCAAGTCGCGCGCGTTTCGAGGTAAAAGTTCTGAGTGGAGCGCCCAGCCACTGAGTGACTTCATTTTCCACTTCGTGGATGAGTCCATGCACTTGGTGCGACATAGGAATCGCCATGACTATGCCAGACACTGGGTGGGCACAGTTACTATTGAAGATGATGAAGATGTTTAGCTGTAGATATGTGATTTCTCAAATTTGTCAAAATATCTCAAATCAATTCCTGCTAAAATTCGTTTGGTTCCTTCGGTTCCGATGCATGATACAATAGACGATTATACTTTGCCCAGATCCATCTAGTGAACAAGCGTTCGTGCCGGTACGGAAGGTTGCATGCGTCGAGTCATCCGGTTTTTTATTGGGTCGAAGTTTGTACGATTTGTAACAAATGAATACTTAAATGGGTATCGGTATGGGTCAATACCTATAGATACATTTTTAGTGGGATGAACATCCATTTACCAGCTATTTTGGGGTTCACTAGGTACCAGGGTTTTGACCCATCCCCAAATGACTTATAGAGAAACATGACCCAGATCTTTGACCATCTTGTGCTCCAAGGATATGATCGTCAAGTGCTGCGACGGGAACAAGAGAAGGAGAAGCGCATCGAAGTCGCCTCTGAAATTCGTCGGACTCGAAGAAGGTCGACCACTGTGGTTCTGGAGTATCAGATCCGCTTTGAAGAGGGCCAAGATCGAGTTTCTCGATTTCCAACTGGAGTTGTCACGATTTCTGGATGATGATCATATACTGGTTGGTGGTTTGGAACATGATTGTTTTTTCTCCATATATTGGGAATAATCATCCCAACTGACACATATTTTTCAGAGGGGTTGAAACCACCAACCAGTATATTTTCATGAGTTGTCCCTGTCATGAAAGCTCCTGCTATCGCTTTGGCACCCTGGAGAGACAGCAGGGGTCAACGAGATTGAAAGATTTACAGTAAGACCAGAGTCCTCAGCCTGGTGAGGTCCTATAGTTGTAGCAGTTGCACCAGCCACATACTCCAGCAGGCTTGCACTGACACACAATTTCGCATATTTCGCAAGGTCCCACTCCCTCAACCCCCAGTGCCTTAGAACCTACTGCATCTTCGATATAAATCAACCTGAAAGCATTCATATCAGTTTTTTTTATGTTGTTTTTCCAGGTATATCCATCCACATATTGACATATGTCATCATATTTCGTTTGTTTGGATATCATATGATAATCATTGTATCCCCATGTATTTTCCTCATGATTTTCCAGGCGGAGCAGATCTTTGTGTCGCTCTGTGTCCATCTGATCCGCAAAGTTCCGCGCCACGGCCTGACGTTGCAGCGCCTCGAGGAGGGCCTGGCGGATGCTTCGGAGGCGCAGAAGCTGCTGCAGCAGGCGCTGCGCATCAACGAGCTGCGGCGCAAGCGCTGGGAGACGTGGTATCAGACGCTGGTGCCTGGGCTGCCTGGGCCGTTTGCCTCGGCATTTTTATGGTGAGATATGGTGAGATGGAGATGTCGAGAAGCACAAAAAAAAGGAGAAACTCAGGTGCCAAATGTATCTAGATGATTCAAGATGATTCAATGTGGGCGCGTCTGAAATTACATATCCCAAAAATCATAAAAATCGAGAAGATTGTGATAGTCCATCGGAATTAGGGCTCCTACTGTGCCCGATTTTCAAAGAAACCCATGTCAACCCTGTTGAAGCAACAAAGGACAGCTGGAAAAGGGATGACACGGAGAAGGAGAAGGAGCTCTTCTCTACAATCCTCAGCCACCGGAAGGATCTTCGTGATGCCTCCATGGCACGGGAACAGGATGGAGATATGGAGACGCGTCTGTCTCGTCTTGAGACAGAGATCGAGAGCTTTTACAGCAGGATTCGGCAAACATGTGTAAAGCCTAACGAGCACCAGCAGGATATTGATGAATTAGAGAGGCAGGTTGACCGAGCTCAAACGGAATATATTGAGATTGTTGAGGCTTAAAAAGAAGTCTCAAGACGTCTCAGGTCTCTTGTGATCTCTTGTGTACTTTTGCTACTACATCTCTTGTATATAGAGTTATCTTAGTTGCAGTTTTCACTTTGAGTTTGAACTTCCGAAGGAATTCCGAAGAACTCGTTTTTCAGGATCCGGTGCGAGATGGCCGTAGATCCTCCCTAGGTCCAAAATTGGAGAATTTTTTGATGTTCGGGCCTTAGCTTCGGCTGCATTTGAGAAGCTGATGAACTCTTGTGAAGAAACACTGGAGAAGTCACGGAGGTTTCTCCTGCAGGGAAAGGATTTGGATGAAAGCTAGAAAGCCAGCCGTAGCAAACTGATCATGATCTCTTTACAATTTGTTTTAATACGAAGCTTTCTTAAGCGATGCTTGCAGTTTGAGAATTAGATCAGCATGAATTATCTAAGTCAACATCCAACAATTCACTTGATTTGTTTCAGCAGCTGAGACTCTCAAAAAGGATTCTGGTAGATTGACAGCTCCCATCACCATGGAGAATGCTAGAGAGAAGGCCGTAGCAACCAAGATCTAGTGGTACCTGACTTTTCTATCGCTGGGGGTGCTAGATGGCAAAGAAATATATATTGGGATGCCGGGACCAGCTCATTGGAAGCCATGTCCAATTGTCCAATTGTCCATGAGCTAATTGGCCCAGAAAAAGCTACACGTATATGGGATGCACCATAGCTAGTCCATCCATTTATAAAATATCATATGGATTCATATGGAGATTTCCATAGTCATGGGGGATCCCCAATAGCTGCTTGGTTTATTTCATGCAAAATCCCAATCTAAAACGGATGATGACTAGGGGTAGCCCTATGACTTAGCAAACCTCCATATACATCTCATCTCATCTTATAGCGGATAATCCAAGCACCCGTCTTCAGTGAAGACCACCTCTGCCGAAAACAACGCCCCGAAAAGGCCGCAGCCGGGAACCGGAAGTCTGTGCCGAAGTCCAAGGGTGGGAAGAAGGCCTCGAGCATGATGACTTGGCATGGTACTCGCTTGTGCACCTGAGAATCGTCTCGCTTGTCCACCTGAAAATCCTTTCGCTTATGCACCTGAGAATCTTCCACTTCTACCTCTACTTGCACCTCTCATTCTACTTCCACTTCTACTTTCAGCTCTATTCCTACTTGTCCTTCTACTTTTTTTCCACATCTATTTCTACTTCTCCTTCTACTTCCACTTCTACTTCTACGTTTACTTCTACATCTACTTTCACCTTTATTTCTACTTCCACTTCTACTTTCAGCTCTACTTCTACTTCTACATCTATTTCTACTTCTCCTTCTACTTCTACATCCACTTCTACTCCTACATCTACTTCTACTTCCACTTCTACTTCTACTTGTACTTCTACTTCTACATCTACTTCTACTTCTACTTACAATTCCACTTCTACTCCTACATCTACTTCTACTTCCACTTCTATTGTACTCCTACATCTACTTCTACTTCTACTACTGCTTCTACTTCTACTTCTACTACTGCTTCCACTTCTACTTCTACTTCTACTTCTACTTACATTCCCACTTCTACTCCTACATCTACTTCTACTTCCAGTTCTACTTCTACTTCTACTTCTACTCCTACATCTACTTCTACTTCTACTACTGCTTCTACTTCTACTTCTACTTCTATTTTTACCTCTATTTCCACTTCTACTACTGTTTCCACTTCTACTTCTGCTTCTACTTCTACTTCTACTTCTGCTTCTACTACTGCTTCCACTTCTACTTCTACTTCTACTTTTACTACTAGTACTGCAATTACTACCAGGACTAGGTATATCATTACCAGCACGAATGGAAACATCATTGATGAGGTTGATAACGAAGAAAAACACAAAAAAAATCAAGAAGATGAAGAGAAGGAGCAATAAAACATTTTTCTGTGCATCATCTTTTGAATTTGGATTTTGGACTGGAGCGCCACAATTGTTTGCCACATGTATGGCTCACAGATGAGGTGGTGTTGGAAGCAAAATTTTGCAAATGCGGTGAGGCTACCGGGGGTTACATGTGCAAAGGAAGCGTTGAAAAATCATGAAACAAATGGCTGACGTAAAGTTTAACAAGTCCCGAATCAAGTATGATGAAGCGACCAGCAGCCATGAAGCGACCAGCAGCCATGCGACGGCACTTCCTACATCAAGTTCAACAAGATATAAACCCTAAAGGTGTCGTGGCTCTTCTTGCATCAAGTGCCACAAGGTATAAACCCTAAAGGTGTCGTGGTTCTTCTTACATCAAGTACAACAAGATACAAACCCTAAAGGTGTCGCGGCTCTTCTTACATCAAGTGAGAAAAGATATAAACCCTAAAGGTGTCGTGGCTCTTCTTACATCAAGTTCAACAAGATATAAACCCTAAAGGTGTCGTGGCTCTCCTTACATCAAGTGCAACAAGATATAAACCCCTAAAGGTGTCGTGGCACTTCTTACATCGAGTTCAACAACATATAAACCCTAAAGGTGTCGTGGCTCTCCTTACATCAAGTGCAACAAGGTATAAACCCTAAAGGTGTCGTGGCTCTTCTTACATCAAGTGCAACAAGATATAAACCCTAAAGGTGTCGTGGCTCTTCTTACATTACATTAAGTGCAACAAGATATAAACCCTAAAGGTGTCGTGGCTCTTCTTACATCAAGTGCAACAAGATATAAACCCTAAAGGTGCCGTGGCTCTTCTTACATCAAGTGCAACAAGATATAAACCCTAAAGGTGTCGTGGCTCTTCTTACATCAAGTGCAACAAGATATAAACCCTAAAGGTGTCGTGGCTCTTCTTACATCAAGTGAGACAAGATATAAACCCTAAAGGTGTCGTGGCTCTTCTTACATCAAGTGCAACAAGATATAAACCCTAAAGGTGTCGCGGCTCTCCTTACATTAAGTGCAACAAGATATAAACCCTAAAGGTGTCGTGGCTCTTTGTTTGCAATGTGTGATAGCGTAATTTCCTGGTAATTTACGTATAAAATGCAACAAGATATAAACCCTAAAGGTGTCGTGGCTCTTTGTTTGCAACGCGTGATAGCGAAATTTCCTGGTAATTTACCTTTAAAATGCAATAAGATATAAACCCTAAAGGTGTCGTGGCTCTTTGTTTGCAACGCGTGATAGCGTAATTTCCTGGTAATTTACGTATAAAATGCAACAAGATAAAAACCCTAAAGGTTTCGTGGCGCTTTGGTTGCAATGCGTGATGGCATAATTTCCTGGTAATTTACGTATAAAATGGAGACCCAGGTGCGTAAGTAAGTGATTTTCTAGGTGCGCAAGTGAGTGCATTTCCCAGGTGCGTAAGTGAGTGAATTTCTAGGTGCGCAAGTGAACGTAGTGCCTTTCGTGGGAAGTTGAAGTCCTACTGTTTAATGGATGTTAATGGTTTTGAAGCGTATGAAAACGGATGACCCTACCAGGTATCTAGGTGAAATATGAGATGTTTATAGAAGAAAATTTGAAGAAAAGAAACACATCGAAGAAGGTAACTTCCGTAAAATCAACCCCATGTGCTCCATGTATGGTATATGTTACCAGTTCATTTTCCTCAAAACAGGCCCAGTCATGGAGCTGTTGACTGCCAGCAGCATGGGCTCCATGCCATGGCGAAGGCTGCAAAGAAGCTTCCCACCATCCGGCTGGAACAGATTCTGGAGGACTGGAAGGGGACGAACCGAGAGTCCTAGAGGTTGGTTCAGGAGAAACACCGGGATGACTGGGACATGGAAAGTTGGGAGACTTTGAGCCTGCAAAATGAGTTGTTGAAATTCAAGTCCTACACCTGGATCCTGCAAAGAAAAGAGTTTGAAAGCCGAGGCAATTGGAAGACTCACAGAGGAATAGCATGGAATAGCTGGGGCCCGGAATTCGTGGACGACTGTGTCACTGTGTCAAAAACTTGGTGGAGAACATTAGCGGCTTAGTGTATCCCATGGCAATTTGCCAAAAAACAGATCCATGTTTGGAAGTCACAAGTTGGCTTCAGACTGCTACTAGGACCGTTGCCAGCTTTTTTTCAAAACGGACACCGATCGACATGGGTTCAGGAGACCGCATTTCCAGAGGAGGCAGCGATCATTTCCAGTGGAACCATGCCATTACGATCCCCGGAGCTGTATCCAGCTTGGTGTCGCAATGGGGTTCGCATTTTTTGGTCCAGACATGAAGATTAATTATTGAATAGTAATGTGGTATATTCCCATAAATTATAATGTTGGGGATGGTTTATAATTTATTAAAATTTTCCGCCCATATAATGTTGGGGATGGTTTATGATTATTGAATAGTACTGTGATAAACCAATTATAAACCCATCATTATTCAATAATCCCCAACAATATTCCCATTATTTACCATCCCCAATATTCCCATAAATTGAAGGTAAACATCATCCCCAGTTCCATGTAGTCCCACATTCTTAGGGCAGGCAGAGGGGTAACCCTCCGGCGTCCCCCAAAACGTGGCGGGCCGCTGGAAAGTCCCTGAACTAAATGGAGGTTTATAGCTGGGAAATCATCTAAATGGGACACGATCATGTTTGATCTTGGATTTCCTATGATTTCCCGCACTCTCAACCAAGTCACACTGTACTTCCCACATGTTCCCACTGTGGCGGCACAGATTCTGGACGGCTCTAATCAATGGTTATGTCCACGCTGTGATCGGAAGGCAGGGCAGAAGGGATGGGGGACCTTTTGACCATCAACCATCCTAAACCATGGTACTCCCGTACACCAAAGAATGATATACAGCAAATTACTTTACTTCGAGTTATCCCATGACATTTATACATTTTGTTACTGGCAAATCTTCTGGCATTCTATTTGACATACCTTCTGGCATTTTATCTGGCATATCTTCTGGCATTCTATCTGGTATATCTTCTGGCATTCTAGCTGGCATATCTTCTGCAATCTGTTCTGGCATATCTTCTGGCACTCTATCTGGCATATCTTCTGACATTCTATCTGGCATTCTATCTGGCAAACCTTCTGGCATTCTATCTGGCAAGCATTCTGGCACTTTATCTGGCATACCTACTGGCACTCTATCTGACATTCTATCTGGCATACCTTCTGGCATATCTGGCATATCTGGCATTTTATCTGGTATATCTTCTAGCATTCTATCTGGCATATCTTCTGACATTCTATCTGGCATATCTTCTGTCATTCTATCTGGCCGTTGAGGTCCAGCGGTGCACACTGAGCTGGGAAGGTCCCAGGTTGAGGTCCAGCGGTGCACACTGAGCTGGGCAGGTCCCAGGTTGAGGTCCAGCGGTGCACACTGAGCTGGGAACGGTCCCAGGTTGAGGTCCAGCGGTGCACACTGAGCTGGGAAGGTCCCAGGTTGAGGTCCAGCGGTGCACACTGAGCTGGGAAGGCCCCAGGTTGAGGCCCAGCGGTGCACACTGAGCTGGGAAGGTCCCAGGTTGAGGTCCAGCGGTGCACACTGAGCTGGGAAGGTCCCAGGTTGAGGCCAGCGGTGCACACTGAGCTGGGAAGTTGGCGAAGAGCTTGGCGAAGAGTTGGCAAGGCGGAAGTTGAGGTGGAAGTTGATGCAGACATGGCCGAGGAGGCGAGGAGGAGGAGGAGGAGGAGGACGAGGGTGGCGAGGAGGAGGAGGGCAACAACTCTGATAAAATCTAACAACCCTCACCTGGCAGGTGGGGAACAAAGGGAAAAAAAAACTAAAAAGGAACATAATTTAATGAAATGTCGGAGACCATTTTCATCCACTTTCGACGATCTTCCCAAGGAAAAAAGGGCTATAATGGAATGTCTGATACCATCTTCTACCATCTTCCCCAACCCAACGGCAGGTGGATGCCCGACGGAGCACTCGCTTGACGAAGCTGCCGCCCTATCTGCACATCACCGTAGAGAGGTGCGGCCTGGTGGATTCATCAGCATCGTTGAAGATGTTGAATAGATTAATATGATCATATTATCATCATGTTTTGATCATATTTTTTAATATACATACATACAATTATAATATATATATATATATACACAATTATAATATATATATAATTACATACGATAGTATGAATATCAGACATGTTACTACATTTCGAGTGTGTTCAATCAGAGGTTGACTACTTACCATCCCCAGTGTCTACCCAGCGGCTCGCCAATGTGTGGAGCTGGCAGGGCGCTTCAACCACCATAGCCATGGTATAGATGCCCCTAATCGAAATCGATGGTTTACCTAGCTATAAAAATGGGTGGTGATTTTCCATGGCGAACTGTTAGTCATAACCAGATGGTTGCCAGATTGGTGGAATTCGGTTGTATGCCCATGATTCATTCCCATTCGAAAAACCCCAGGGTGAAGCTGAAGTTACGAAGTTCAGCTGGTATGCCAATGAAACTGGGAGCCCCAGATCACAGAGGTATCATTTTGATGTGGACAAGGAGGAACGCAAGCGTTTAGCACATCCTGTGTCCTTTCCGTTTGGCACCTGGTGAGCATTTCGGCTCGGGGTGGGTCTTACATGTCTGGTTGGTGGTTTCGAACATTGTTTATTTTCCATAATATATGGGATAATATGGGATAATATGGGATAATCCTTCTCATTGACTAATATTTTTCAAGTTGGTTAAAACCACCAACCAGTTGATGAATTCTGTGTTCAAAAGAGGTATGTTTTAATTTTCAGAAACCGATGGTCATATGGAAGGTCTTTGAAAGGGATCTCTGAAAACTCACTGACCTCAGATCATTATCCTGCGTCCTAACCTTCTGAAAAGATGGTTGGCCATGATATGTGTCATTCTCGCTGGGGAAGTATACCGTATACCTTAATGTACTCTGTAAAGAACCTCAAACATATACAGATATATAAATTTTTCCAGGATAGAATCGATGATATTTACCAGATAGTTCTCAGGTTTTCAAGGTTTCTATCTATTTTTTGAGATTGCTGTAATTCTTCACAATTTGAACCAGATCATTGGTGAAGTGGGCACTTATATAACTCTTGTGCAACTTGCTAGAAAATGTCATGAAGATTCCGCTTGCGGAGGAGTGTGCGCTTTTTGAACTGAATGCAATGTTTACCCTCTGCTTATCTAACATAGCCATGGGAAATGGCCCATAGAAATAGATGGTTTACCTATTAAAAATGGTGATTTTCCATGGCTATGTTAGTCATAACCAGAATGTTTCACCATGTTTAAACTGCGTTTTTCCTCATCAAATGTGGCATTTTTAAAATCCCCCAGTTACTCAATGGAGGTTTCCAGCTGGGAAAGTCATTAAATATATCCCATGAACATCCATGATCTCTAGATTATCTTTTATATGCAATGAATAGAAATATGAATAAACACTATATTAAAACTCCATGTAGATCCCCCTTGAGATCCCCCAGATATCCGTTTCTCTTTCGACATAGACGCGAGATTCACCACCGAGAGATGGTACCCATTTCTCTTAGATCTCTTAGGCGGCGCTTGGAACTGCGATTGGGTGGAGCACTGGCACGTGGTCGTGAGGAGTGGGGTAGCTGGCCGGTTGGTGTCATGGAAATCCCTAAGATATATTAGGATGGACCAGGATGGATGATAAATGGGGTGGATGCCCCGGATGCCCCCATGACTTCGGAAACCCCATGGTTTTGGAGGTTTCCTAGTCATCACTCCCCCAAAAAAGCTGGGATGTGCACGATTGTTGTGGGGGGTTGCTACAAGAGTGAAACGTAATTAAATATAGTGAAAAGTAATATTTATTACTATGTAATGTTTAGTGGGAGTTTACTTTTCTATCTGAACGATAATAGATATCTCCGGAAAATCATTGCAATCATCATAGATCTGGATAAATGACATAACGACCTCATTGCCATGTCACTAGGGCATCTATGGCCCAGTATGGTTAGGGCAACTATCCCCCAGATAGTATGATCTCATTGCATTACACTGACGACACGATCCGTGTTTTGGAGATGTCGCCTTAGTGACTTATTTGCCCTGTGTTACACGCGTTTGTTTTTTGTTTTTTCCGGGAGGGGCAGTTTTGGGGACTTTGAGCTTTTGCTGGTTGGTTTGCAGTAATTAGGAAGCGGTATTAGACTGAATTGAATGCTGATGAGACGGACATTGACGCCATACCAACGTCTCAAAGTGTCACACAGACCCTGCTGACCATATGGGTTTCCCTTCATTATTTGATAATATTATTGTTCGTTTAACGACTTGTTGGATCGTTTCCGATAATGGGGTGGAGGTTGTTGTATAAAACTGTATTGATTGGCCTGAAGGCTTTCTGTGATGTTGTCGTTGACATCTTGTGTTTTGGGTCAACCCTTGATGACAATGTCCCTCCTTGCAAGCATTGTTGCAGGCGATGGATCAAATTTCATTGTAGCAATGGAAAGGAATCGTGAAAGAACTGAAAGATAAGTTAGAATGACAGACCTTGCTTGGTTGGTTTCCATATATGTCATGTGGAAGTGGAATTCCCCCTTGAAGTTTTGATGAATTTTGAGAGGAGTGGTACTGAGCAGACAGATGTCTTTTGGGGCTGCAACGGGGGGTTGCAGGCAACAAGCGGAAACGACACTGCTCTGGACCCAAGGGATCCCAAGGGACCAGAGTCGTTGGGATGCCATTTTTGGGATGCCACCATCCCATCAATCGACGCGGCGTCATGGTACCGAACTTTGACACAGTTCCATAATTCAAAGCACCAGCCAGGCCTTCGGCTCACCCTGGATCGATTCCTGTCCTAACCCCTGAGATAGATCGCTGGTTGGTGGTTTGGAATATGATTTTTACGTTTCCATATATCGGGAAATTCATCATCCCAACTGACTTTCAGTCCATCATTTTTCAGAGGGGTAGGGCTCAACCACCAACCAGAATCCTATTAAATCCCAATGATTCCAATGAGAAACACATCGAAAAAAACCCTAGGATTCCTGGCTGGATAGACCCTTCCTATGACATACTTGGAACGCCTTCTTCCAGGTGTTGCATCTCTGACTTTGCCTGAGATTGTCAGGAAAAAGCCCACTTTCATGGTTCATCAGGTACATCCAGGTACCATTTCAATCCATCAGACAGACCCAAATTTTGAGATATTTTTTTACATGTGGCTATGGATCAATACCTATGAAAATACCATTTTTAGTGGGTTATTCACATCCATTGACACACTGCCATGTAAGAAAACATCCGGAGTAGCCAGGTTACTATATGTTACTATCATTTTCTCATATATTTTCTCCATCCAAACCCCGGGATGATTCCGTCTGAGGCAACGCTACCAGTGGCGTACGAGTGCATCGGCTATTTGGAACACGTGTCCGACTCTGCTCACAGTGGTTCGGAAGCCCGGTTGGTTGATGAGTTTGTCAAACAGAGAGGGTTTTGACATGGTTTAAACATGGAAAAATGATAAAAATGGGGATAGAAGTACGTAGATCTAAGTGATAGATGATGGTTGGGTGATGATGGTTGGTTGATGATTAGTTCGAGGATTATACTAACTACTGTGATATACGTATAATTAGTGGGGGTTATCACAATCCATTTTCACGGGGAATCTCGTTCTCAACCAGTTTATCAAAAGCGAGGACACAGGCCGGGTTTTGAGCGAAAAATGTGGGACATCATCTATCATGTGCTTGGGAAACTCTAAGTAGCTCCAACTGGCTCCCTATTTTTGTCGGGAATATGAAAACTCCTAGCTCGGAACCGCTCCATCCTAGCCACTGGATAGTAATGGAATCATTCATAATCATTGGGTTTTTTCTGTAATGTGGAATATACCAACTGATTTAACATTGCTACGGAAAATCACCATCAACAAATATCAAACATTAGACGTAAATCATCGAACTAAACGGTCCACATTCCGTAATTAGGTACCCTCTGGTAAACTAACATAACTATGGAAAATCACAATTTTCAATGGGAAAATCCACTATAAATTTCAATAGCTATGTTAAATTACCAGAGGGTATGTAAAATGACCCAGGTGTGATTACTCTTCGGTGTCATCAAACATAGCTACGAAATTTCCCAGGTAGCCAGGTAGCCATTCGAGATCTGGCTACCGGTGCTCAAACATGGCATGGATTCACAAGGCTGAAACTGAAATCCTCCATTTATAGCTGGTTTTCCCATTTTTTTGCCTCCATTTATGATGTTCCATTGCCACAGTTGATTCCCGCATGGTCCATCTGAATTCATCATCTCAAGTCATCCCAAGGTCACTACAGAGCTACACTTCTACGAGAAGATGAGGACCGAGCCACCGCGAGCCATGGGGGTACCGGGCGGTACCCGCCGGATAAACCACGGTTTCTTTTGACACAAACCGCAATGTTTCCCACGAAAGGGTTATTTCATTGGGTATACATCGGTAGTATACCATGGAAAGACCCATTTTCAGCGAATGATGTTTGCTGTGGAGGAGCCCTATGCGACCGAAGTAGCAGGTGAGGAAATCTGTCGGCTGATTTCTGTCAGCCTCTGGTAATTTGACATAGCTCTGGAACATCACCATTAAAATAGTAGAGAAATTAATTAATCACATGAAATTCTACTGGGCAAATGAATCATCTTTAAATGGGGACTTGTATGGACTTGTTTTTTTTGCTGTGTTAGATTCCCAATGATTCCAGAGGGTAAAGCCAGAATTGAAGTTTCCTAATGATATCGTGAACATCATGAGGATCCCACTTTCCAGGTCGGTGACCACCAAGCTATGTGGGGATCACTGGAGCTTCATCCCCATGTCACTCCGATCAGTCGCCAGGCTGCGACGCGGCAGAGGCCCCTTCCCAACGGTTGGACATTAAACACCAGCAGCGACTAAAATGAAAGCTCAAAATCTTTGCCTCAAGTTGTAGATCTGCAGATGGTGTTTTTGTTTTCCCCGCAGATATCGACCACTTCTCTGAATCGCTACCACTGCAGGTACTGGAATCCGCAACAAAGAAACAGAAAGTCGATGGACCAGACGTGAGGGGCCCAAAATTTCTCCAACGACTGAAAATTGGGGGGGATACCCAAAATGGGGAAATAGGGAAGAAGAAATATGAGCCATTAAATTTGAAGGGTTTCCCCATGTTTCCCTTCAATTTTCAGACCAACCCATGTGCCGCCAAATTTGGAAAGAAAGCGGAAGGGGGGGCAGAAAAAAATGTTTTTGATGAGTGGCTGATGCTCAGAGGCAGGTTTTGGAATGTTTTGGAATGGTTCTCTCCAATGTTAAACAATCCAGAGCAATTCCAACATTCTTCTTCAAGCACAAGCATCACAAGCCAGATTTAAAGCATTCCCTCTCGATTGACAAAGGAGAAGGAACCGCCACAGATGGCCAAAAGCATCCAAAAGCTATCTTGAACATGTAAAGAAAATGAAAGAATTCTGTTTGGTCCCAGATTTTTTGTTCACCGAACGTCTACAGGAAATTAAATCATGTCAAATCACTGATTGGTGGTTTGGAACATGAATTTTCTTGTTCCATTCAGTTGGGAATTTCATCATCCCAACTGACGAACTCAGTCCATCATTTTTCAGAGGGGTAGGGCTCAAAACCACAAACCAGAATCCATCAGAATCCTATTAAATCCCAATGATTCCAATGAGAAAAACATCGAAAAACCCTAGGATTCCCCTGGAATTCCCGTAGAGATTTTATCGCACTCAGGCCGCGGCAGGAGCTCCTCAAAAGCGCAGCTGGTAGGGCTCAAAGATGGCTGGGAAATCGAGGAAGCAAATGAAGATCCTCTATAGATGGGGAATTTCTATGACTGGTTGGTGGTTTCAAAATGTTTCAAACATGAATTTTATTTTCCATTTCATATATGGGTTGTCATCCTTCCCAGTGACTAATATGTTTCAAGATGGTTAAAACCACCAACCAGATGAATTTGATTGAATTTGTAAGTTTGGTGGTTTCCAACATTTGAGATGTTTCTGACTGGTTTCTTCAGCCACACGGTAGTGTATGGGTCAAAATTCAAAGACACTGAGACTCAGAAACTTTGATCAATTATTGTACTAGTCTTAACCATCTTACCTTACATATAATAACATAATATATACTATATTTATATATATACATATAATTATGTAAACCATCCGGTAACCATCCTATTTTTCCGGAGTACGCAATTTCAAGCAATCCTTCATATCGGGCACATTACCTACTTGTATACTCCTTTGATTTTGTCCCCAGTCTTGTTTGGAGAAGCACCCATTATTGTCATTTAAAACCATGTCGACGTGCCGAAGAAACCATAAATTCATATCAATTCCGCGTGTTTGATGGTTAACCATGGTTAAACCATGTTAAGCCATGTTTTTTTACCCACATTCTGGCGAACCCCCCATGACTCCCCCGAAGGGTCAAAACGTTGCAGGTGGCGCCTGGATGATGAGACGGTGACCACCGTCACGGAAAATGAGCAAGCGTCCTGTGACAAAGCAGAAGCGACGGAAGGCGGGACACGGGACGCTGTGCGGCGACATGGCGGGCGGGATTTACCCACTGGGAATCCAAAAAGGATTGGAATTATTGAATAGACAATAGTATAACTAGGGGGGAACATAATATAATTAGTGGGATATTTTTCATGGAGAGTATATCGCTATGTACACATTGAATTATTCGGACAGGCGTTTTTTTCACCTTTGAATGATGAGACATTTGACCGACTCTGGGAATCGAACATAAAATGTATGGCCAATGTTTTGGAGATTGAGTTTATATTGGAGTTAATATTGGGTTAATATTGGGTTAATAATGACCATTAATAATGGTTAATCATTAATCATGATATAAAATTGGGGATATCTATCAATAATGGTAAACCATGAGATATTAGAAATATGGTTAACCAATATCTGGTAAGTTAACGTAGCTATTGAAAAAATGGACCAAATTTAGTTCGTTGATTTAGCTCTTTGAAATGGTGATGTTCCGCAAACTGGTTGTTACTATATAGGGCCATAGGGTAAGTTGCTTTATCCCCATGAGCTATAGAAATAAGCCCCAGAAACCCTACTATAGATCTATAGTATTCTATACTAGTAGTAGGGTTTCTATAAGCCCCATAAACCCTTATGGTCCATAAACCCGACCAACTTGGACTTAAAACATCAACCAACGTTGGCGAACGGGGTGCACCACCCTGACCGGGATGGCTATTTTTCGGCAGGAGCAGAGCCGGTGCCAGTGGAGCTCTCAGCTCTGCTCGTTAATGAAAATTATAGGGGCTGGTTGGTGCTTTGGAACCATGGAATTTTATGACTTTCCATATATTGGGAATGTCATCATCCCAAGTGACTCATATTTTTCAGAGGGGTGTTGTGCGAAAAACCACCAACCAGTGAATATTCATGGCTAATATTGGTGGTTAATCCATGGTTAATATGGTTAATTTGACAACTTATTGGCCATTGGGGGTTTATTCTACTCACTGTGTTTGGGGATTAATCCGTTGGAATGACAGAGGAATATTGAACAATGTTCACTTGTGTATACCATCTGGTTATGACTAACATAGCCATGGAAAATCACCATTTTTAATAGGTAAACCATCTATAGATGGGCCATTTTCCATAGCTACGTTAAATAACCAGAGGGTAAATATATTAAAAATATATGTCTACAATTATACAACCAACCATAATCAAGAGCTGGATGAAAGATCATAATACTCCATGACCATGGTCCTCACTTTGTGTCCAGCCGGGGAATGAAAATAGTGGGATGACCATACCGAGATACCCATAGCTGGATGAACTGGATGATGACTGGGGGTAGCTCTATGCTTTAGGACACCACCGTATACCAATAACTCCCCGAAGAGGGGCATAGTTGCCATTTGAGGCGACAAAGATATGATAGTTCTTGTAAAGTACCCCTAGCAGATATCAATAATTATAAGTATACTAAAAGTATAGAAAAATAGTAGTTCCTTTATATTATAGATAAGTGATTCGTTTAGTTATTGACTTATAATATATATACATATAAAAACTTATAAGTTATAAGTACATTAATATATATATATATATATAAGTATATATAAGTCATAACTAAACTACAACTTAATGTTATACCCATGGTTATACCAACAGCCATGGCTTTCCAAGCGATCCGCAGAACACGAGGTGGATCCGGCGAGGATCGAATCTGCCACCGCACGGCCCGCAGTTCCACCATGGTCGTCCTGAGCTTCTCAAAACGGCAGCCACCATGGTTTCCACGCAAAAACAGTGCAACAACTCTCTGAATACCATATATAGACATATATATAGATATATATATATATAGTTATCATATGAATAGTATTGATATATCATAGATATATCATGATATATCCCCTAACCATAGTTACTACTATACATCATGTTTCACCACAAAAAAGGTTGGCTTTACACAAACGGCCCACGACCGTGCCCTTGATCGAGGCCTACCTGGTGTTGTATCGCCGCTGCGATCACGACCCAGGCATGGAAACATGTAGGCATCGCCAACGAAATATGTATGCATTGGTCATCATGTATCAACGCAATACTACATGTTATGTTATAATATAATCATATAATCATATGTTAAAATATGCGCAACTGAATACTGTATATATAAACAATATGTTACAATATGCGTAACTGTATGTATGTATATATAGTGGGTATAATTTGCGTAGTCTGTGTATATATAATATATGTATAGACATTATTTTACTATGTATTTATCACATCATATCACATTACACCATACTCATCCCATATCATTGTCATATGATATGATATACGTATATAAGTATGTATTAATGAGTGTATGATATTGATATCTATGATATGTTTCAATGGCATTATATGAAAACAACACTCTATGTCTCTATATGTTAATGTAAACATTTCAGAGCATGTATATATATATAGAGACATGCATACATACATGCATACATGCATACATGCATACATGCATACATGCATACATGCATACATGCATACATGCATACATACATACATACAGACAGACAGACAGACACACAGACAGACAGACACAGACACACAGACACACAGACATACAGACATACAGACATACAGACATACATACATACATACAGACATACAGACATACATACATACAGACATACATACATACATATACATATTTATATATATATATATATACATACACATTTATTTATGTATGATATATTTGGGTAATTTACAACGACTTAGGATGTCGAGCTCTCTGGAATGATGGGATTTGTAGAGGTAACTCTCCTGAATAACGTTTCACGTTTCAGGTGAGTGAAATATAACAGACATTATCCAGAAGAATATATTATTCTTACTGTAATATTATTTATCATACAGGTGATTTTTTTTATGCATTATCTCAGGTCTGTGAATTATAGATTCCCCACATTCATTTGGGCAGGGGCATTGTTCCAAATCCTTTGGTTTATCATTCATTATTTTCCCTATTAAATAGCATCTTAACCGGGCATACCCCATTTTCACACAGACCCATATATGATAGTCAGATAGTCCATAGCGCAGATAGTCAGATATATTGATATTTGTTAGTCCAGATTTATAGTCTACCCAGATTTGTCATAGATTGATTTGGGGGTTATATACACTCTTATCTTGACAACTGATATTGACCATGGTACATGTGATAGCCCATGCCGGTAGGTGATGAAGACTTGGCTGACCAAAACTCAATGGCCATTTCAGGTACCTAAACTGGAGGTACTGTACCATTTTTCAGGCCATATTTTGTGGGGATCTTCCCTGAAATTAGCCCTGACACTCCGACCCTATATTGGGTAGATACATCCAATTTACGATCTCCAGCAAAAAAACATGAAAAAACTATACCCCAAATTACCCCAAGAATTGGGCAGAGTCCTCCAGTAACTGGGTAGTTTTTTTCCCCTACAATCAACCCGTTGGGTAGTAGAATCCCCTAACAATCATCAACCATAAGACCAACAAAAATCCCCCATTATCCCTTATTCACTGGCCATTTCTTATAATATGGCCTGGCAACAGCCAGTTGAATATCATCAGTGGATTAACCAATATACTTTTGCCATCATATGAACCAGTAATTAACTGATAGTGATATTCACTGGTTAATCCACTGATAACCATTGGCTCATGTATTAACATGTTAATCCACTGTATATGGTTAATCCACAACCAACCAGTAACCCTTAAATTTTGCCAGCGAAAGCCAGGCCAACTTTGCCAGGGTCGCCGGGAGTCGCCACAGAAGCCGCGACGGGGTCCTCCGCTGTCGGAGGAGTTGCAGCGCTGCGTGGTGGGGGACCGAGTCCAATCCTGTTGAACTGCTGAGTTCATGGGATTTATGCAACAAAAATGATGATTTAATGGGATTTATGATGCAACAAAAATTGTGATTTAATAGGATTTATTCAACAAAAATTGTGATTTAATAGGATTTAAGCAACAAAAATTGTGATTTAATAGAATTTAAGCAACAAAAATTGTGATTTAATAGGATTTATTCAACAAAAATTGTGATTTAATAGGATTTAAGCAACAAAAATTGTGATTTAATAGGATTTACAGTAAGCAACAAAAACAGTGATTGAATGGGATTTATGCAACCAACATTTGGTGGTTCAAACAATGAACAATGGATTCTATTGGGGATATCGGAATATCATGTGAATATCATGGGATATACAAGCATCAACCAGTAATATGATGTGGGGTTGTCCAAGATGGGGGAAGTTGCACCAGTTTATAGAAGTTTTTCAGGTGGAAAAGGGATAATTGAATTTGGGGGGTACCCTCGCGACTCTGACGGATGTTGGTGCGATGGTTGTTTAGACTAGTGAAGCTAAACAAGTTTTGCTGATACGATTTGCTTCAGAGATCTTCAGTGTTGGAAAGATGATGAATAGAATGGAAGGTGCAAGCGAACGTCAGAGAGGCTTGTCTTTGACGTTTGGATTGACAATTGTCCCATTCTTGCACACTACTCCTTGATGGTTTGACTCATCAATGCCTCATTCACAGGCACTTGATTCATCAAATTCTTGTTGGCTTAAACATGCTTAAACTATTTTTTTCACTTGGCTCATCTGTGGGAACCCCAATGCCATAAACCTATATAAACCATTATAAACCTACAATTTGGGGATGGTAAACATGCCACCCGGTGATGTTTTGGGGGTTTATGACACCACAGCTTTTCAGTTGCTGAGGATGAGCACAACACAGAATTGCGACGACAGCGCAAGGAATTTGAATCCAATTCCCTGGTCCGGGCCACACACGTCACGCCGAGGGCGTTTTCGGGGCGGGAAGCCAACACATCCATAAAGGAAGCCATCAAACCAAAGGTCTTAGAAAGTGCATCGGCTTTGATTCAGTAGGAATGAAGTCTTGACCAAGAGTCCTCCCAATCCTGAAACATTGACAGTCAGAAGCACACTCTGCATACATGCCCAAATTGGTGTTGCACTGCATCCAAAAGTTGGGATGCCTCAGTTGCTCCAATTTAGTTTCCCGAGGGGATAGATATCACTCTGACTATCTCGGAGGTGATAGAGTGAATGGCTAGAAAAGCTGGAGTAGATCCATTCTTGGATGTGCATCCCCAGAATCCTAAGTGCTTCAGAACCCTCTTTTTGAATCTGTTTAAACCCATGAAGATAACTCTATAGACATATTCTTATGATATTCAGTTTGAGTTAGCAAAAATCCATGATATAAGATGATATAAGTCACTATGAATAGGATATTCCATAAATCTAAGTGTGCCAGCAATCTTCAGTTCCCGGTCTGAGATCCTGCCGTTCCACCCAGGCTGTGGAGCGTTTCGTTGGGGAACGTCGCCGAGCGGTGACGTGTCCGGAGCCACAGCATGGGTTTAGGGTGGAGTTTCGATTCTCCAGTGCAGGAATCCTTTGGGAACATATATATACATCATATAGATTCATATAGATTCATATAGATTCATATAGATTCATATATATATATATATACAATATACATATATATATATATAGTAGCTATACAGAACGATACATAGTAGGGATATACAAGGTATACATTTATACATTTATTATACATTTATGTATACAAGAATTTTACTGTAACTTGCCACTAGAACTTTGAACAGCGCCCACCGGGTCCCGGGTTGAGGCTTGGCAGAAGCCTTGCGCCAGCATGCGGTGGGGCTGGCAGAAGGTCAGCAGCGCTGCACGAGTCATCACCTCTGGAGCAACTATCAGAATGATCATAATGGACATAATGGGACTTTATATGGATTTATGTATGATTTATATCTGTAATAGAATGGGAATATATATATATATATGGATTTCTACTAAGGATGTCTTAGCCACTAGCCAACTATTCCAATGTCTATATAAACCCAACGCCATACTTAACTATCTCATTAACATATATTACAAATCGTTATTTTTGGGGTCACAATAAACATAATAAACATCATCCAAGTCATAGGGCTATCCAATGCCATAAATATAAATGCCATCAACCGAAAAATTCAGGACGATTCAGGATGGTTTGTGACATTGGCCAAGATTGCCCCCAATCAGGAAAGGCCTGATTGTATTGGATCTATTCATGTTGATTCATGTTATTCAGATCTATATTCATAATCAGATCAATATGATCAATCCGGAATCCGTTTACCCTAATATTTACCCCCCTTGTAAACCCGGTGTCTACAACACCTCGATGGTCCCAGGCCAACGGCTTGACTTGAGCTTCGTGCCAGCCGTTTGGCTGGAAAGGTACGCCGTACGCCGTACGCCGGCTTGGGACGCGGGGAAGGGTCCAACGACATGAAAAGACCAAAATGAATTGGCAATGATATTATGTCATATATATGTATAGTATATAATATATATATGTGTATGTATATATAGATGTATATATACATATATACACTGTATATGCTATGATATGATATATGCTATGATCATACTGAGGGATTCTTGGGGTTGCGGTGAAAACGTTACGGAAAAGACTGAGCGTTCAACGGTCAGTTTCTTCAACGGTTGTAGCCTTCAGTGTCATCAAACATGGCAATTGGAAAATCCCTGAACTAAATGGAGGTTGCTAGATGGGAAAATCAAGCAACGTTTGATTGTTACATATTGTTACCCATGAAATCCTGCTAATATCGCTACCCTCCCCCAAATCAACATACATAGACCCTGCCAAATATGGCTTTGGAAGATTAGTTTCCACTAAAAATTGGCTGTCTTCACAGTCTATGTCTATGTCAGTCTTCAGAGTCTATGTCTATGTCAGTTTGTGGGATGGTAGTAGCTCATGAAATACCAGTAATATCATAGACTGCTGATTCTATATCCTATTAAATCTAGTTCATCTACCATGACCATGAGAATATTCAAGAATCCCATTGATTCCATTGATGTTATCGCTATATGGAGGTTTCCAATCCATGGGGCTACCCCTAAATCATCCGTTTTAATAGGATTTTCCATTAGAAACCAATCCATTTTGATCCATTTCGGGATTCCCCATTTATGGAACCCCCCATATGTTCCCAATCAGTGGCGAATGCAGATTTCTACGTGGCGAAGACCGGACCTTGCAGAATATCCTGGAGGGGGATGCATCTGTCGCTCGGTCACTGTCCTGGTGGCCATGGGAAATCCCCAGATCAATTGGAGATCTTCAGGATCCTATTGATGTACTGACTGTTTCATATTTCTGACCATATTTTATGGGGATATTCAGATATTCCCTGAAACATAGGCCTGAAACATAGGCCTTATATATAGTAGGTACCATAGGTACCTCCAATCAATCGGTTCCTGACATGGCCATTGACCCAACTAAACGGAGGTTTGTAGCTGGGGAAATCATCTATAAATCTGGGTGAATAACGACCGAAGCCTGTTCTCCCGAAGCCTGGAATCATGGTTAAGGGGAATCATCCCAATACCCATAGGATCCATGTATGGTATATATGGTAACATTTACATACATTTACCATCAATATACCCCAAATGTTAGCATATATAGCATACATGGATCCTATGGGATATGGTCTTAATTTAGTGAAAGATTATCATTTACTCAGATAAATGGGACTTGACCAGCAGATATTTGGGAGCAAACATGTTTTTTTTCTTCATCTGTTTGATGGTGATTTCACTGGCAGAAATGGTGGGGAATGATGGCGAATGGGAATATTTTTGGGAGGATTGGGGGAATCATCTCCGAACCGAACGGCACAAAATTTTGGCTTGGTGCATTAGGACAATGGCACAAAGCCAGACAGATTGAATGGTATGAATTGTGTTTGTATACTTAGTACTTATTAGTGGAGGTTTAACCTTGCCAACAAATCATGGGAATATCATGGTTAGTTGGGATGTTGAAAAGCCCTGTTGGTTGATAGTATGTGGTACCATCTCCAACATCTTGGGGATGATGGAGCAGCAGCCAGCAACGATGAATATGTTCCAGACTTGGTGAATGGATGTTTTTGAGGAAGATTTTACGTAGGAAACCCCAATCGAAGTCCCATAACCTTGGTGTCTCTACATGCTTTTGGTTTGGAAAAATAAAACTTAAACCAACATCATGTGAACTGCCCCTGCTTCCAGATCGTGGCTCCCACCTATGCGGCTGCGATGCTCAAGGGGCCGCCGCCCGGTTTGTCGGCTTGGCGTCCGTGTATCGGTGGCAACCCATTTGTAACCCTTCTCCAACTGTGGGAAATCATGCATAAGTTAGATGTAATGTACTATATTGTAATGTATAGCTGATTAATTGTATATATATATATCATGATTTATCCAGAATATTGCTCGATTGTATATATATATAGATATCATTATTTATCAATCTCAAAAGTGGCTTATGACATGGTTATTTCCAACTTACCTTTGGGATGAACCCCCAAGTTGGTCAGGTGGAATCATGAACCACATGATGACAGCAAGCTGACATTTCTGGAGGATGTAGCACATGTTTTTTTCAGGATGGCCAGGGCTGTGTTTTATGTCCATTAATTGTCCATAGATGTGTTCTCAGATTCACATGGCCTTTTTACGGGAATGATTTTTTAGCAAATTATAGAAACCTCCGAATGACATCATCCAAATTCTGACTGAACGAAAACAGAAGCTATGCACCGGCTATAGCCTCACAGTTTTCCGGTCGTATGACTTGTTTGGATCATTTTTGGATACCCTAGGGTAAACCAACAAAAAGATATGATCTACAAATGGTGTTTTGTTTTCCCACATGGTAGTTTTTTCAGAGGGTGATTATCACCATGAATCAGCATCACCATGAACCATTATCCATCATAAATCACAATGATTATCCATATATGTAACATGATTTTAGCATGTTTGACCATTGTTAACCATTATTAACAATTATTAATCATTATTAACCATCATTCCTGATGGGTAAACTCCACATTTTTGGGGGTATCTGGGTTATCTGGGTTCCCAGGAAGGTCATGTGCTGATCACCCAAGGAATTGTCCTGTGGCCATCGATCCCTTGGCCATTTGGTGTGGGGAGGTACCAAGGATGCCGGGTTCATGGCTATTCTCAAGGGACATGGCGACATGGCTCATGGCTACGTTTACTGATTGGTGGTGACTGGAACCATGGAATTTTATGACTTTCCATATATTGGGAATTTCATCATCCCAACTGACTCATATTTTTCAGAGGGGTAGGTATAGCACCAACCAGCTATGTTTACATAGGGATCTCTAATCGGGATTTCATGGGGAAAACCCTGGGAAAAACGAGGACATGAATGGACATGATGATTCATCCATGTTCCCTCAATTTAGGGCTTATGTTCAGACAACCCGCAGCAACATCAGCAATTGTGATCATGCTGTTGGTTGTTTTCCAGAACCAGTCCCCCATTTGCAGGTGAAGCTGCTTCCAACTGCTGCTTTAGCGCAGGCCCGACCCACGGCAGATGACGATGAACACTGGGGAATCATCAACAATGAAGAAATGAGGTTTGTTGATGTGTGTTGTATTATATATATATGTGATGATCTGTTGATGCATGAAGCGTTATATATTGCACCAAAAAATGAGTCGTAGTTTGTTCAGAAAATCGATAATCTCTGCAGTTGGAAGCTAATCCCATGAATCCTAAATAAGTTAGTTCACCCTAGTTGTTTCAGTGGATTAACCCTACTTATCTCACTGAAAAAAACAGGTATATATCCTACCTAGGATTCGTGGGATGAGCCACCAAGTATATATATATATATATAGTCTATACAGTAATTCACCATTGGTTCGTTCCAAATCCTGGAAAATCCCAGTGGCAAGATCTTGTTGACCAGACATGGAAGCATCTTCACCGGGGCTGTAATTCCTACAAGTATCCTAGACAATCCCAGGCACATTTATCCCTAAACTCTATGAATCTTTGTCAAACGACATGTAGATTTTGTCGAAACAGATGTGCGATGGAACAGCACCAATGCATATCTGAACAAAAACGGGGGAACTGAGAATCCTTTCTGGTTGTTGGTTTGAATTTTATGACTTTCCATATATTGGGAATTTCATCATCCCAACTGACGAAGTCATATTTTTCAGAGGGGTAGGTATACCACCAACCAGCTTTATTTGCTCTTGATGTCCTCCTTTATTCGCAACTCCCATGTTTGGTGCTTCAGAATCGCAAATTTCCACACTGAGGTGGGTGGTCAGCATGGCGGCTTGGATTCCTCGACCCTTCTGCAAGCAGATGAAGCCATAAACGACGAGGCGAGAGGGTGATGGGCTGGGGATTCAGATCTCGTTATGACAGACGGTGAGAGGCGATCGATAGCAAAATTGGTGAAGACAACGAGGTTTAACTTTGGTTTGTGGTGGATATATCATGATATATCTATAGCTAGTAGGTCTATCAACCAACTTCTAACTGGGGGGGCCTCACCTGGTGTGCATGCGAAAGTAGGTAGTCTGGGGGTGCCCCATCTTCAGACAATTCCACAGCTATTGATATCTAATTATAATATCTGCATATGTGCATACACATACACAAACATATTTATACACATACATATATACATATGTGTATATGTGCATGCCCTCCTAAAAACCTATGAAGCTATAGAATTCAACTAACAATAACTAACAAAACAACATGGAAGGACATGGTAAACCCACCATGAAGATCATTTTTCTGGGGAAAGAGCTTGTTTTCCAGATACCTATGTTGCTAGGTTTTTCTGGAGGGTGAGGTTGGGTCAGACTTGGGGGACTCCAGCAGTTGATTGAAAAATGTGGCCTCTAGGCTTATTGGCTGTTGATCCGTGTTGGAAAACTGGGGGAATGCCCGGAAAATTCTGAACCATAGCTGTTAAGGGGTTGTGAGAGATCATTTAAGGATGACATGATCAGTCGCATGTTGATGAAGCTGGTGAAAGCAGGCATCATGTGGCATCAGCCAGGTTTTCCGGCGGCATCCCAGAACATTGAAACCATGTTTTTTCCCTCATTTTTGATGCTCAAAATCCATCTCAGTTGCCTGCGTCTCGCAGGTTGCGCAGCTTGTATTTAAAGCGTTTAAGCGCCCTGGCTAAAAAAAATTACCTTGGACCTTTCTGCACGGGGTTCAGCTGGGTTTGAGGGATTTTATGATGGTTGATGACTTTAAATATTCCAACTTGAGGGACATTTGCAGGATGTATTTGGTTAGCTATGATTATAAAGGTCAAGTTGAGTCAACGCACTTTGCCGGAAATCAACATGGGGAATGCAATGGGGGAATGTGTTTGATGTTTGATGTTTTGGGGTTCTTGCATCGCAAATCCGAGAGATATGGATGAGCTCCTTGTATGAGTGCATCTTGCTGTTTGACATTTGCCACACTAAGCACTAAGCACCTATGTTGACAATATCGAGGAACCTTTTTGTCAACCTGTTTAGGCAGCTCACATTTTTTGTCAAGTGAACAAAGCCATCTGACAAGCACCGCAGGAATGTGATAGAATGATTGTCATGGTCGCCCTTTCATACATGATTGAATGAGTAATTTATTTCATATCAAATCATAGCATGTCAATGTCTCAGTAGGAAGGTCTTTGCCTGAAAATCGGATCGCAGGCTAACTGTCTAACTTTCACAGCAACAACAGGACCTGTTTAAAAAAACGACAAGTCGAAAGCCAGGGACTTTTTTTACCCCAGCTTCCGCTGTGACTTAGGCACTTCAGCCGAGAGTTCGAGCTGAAGGCGAAGATTCAGGGGACGAGGCTCGGGTCTCAAAATTTCATCACCCATTGGATGCCATAGAATCGATGCCCATAGCTCTTAATCATGATGAAATAATCCATTATGACATCATTATGAACCATTCTTAGCAATGATTAACCATGATGAAGCATAAATAAAACCTATAAAACCACGATGAATCCTTTTTTTTTCCGATGGCATCCCACGGTGTTTTCTTACATTGCGCCAAACCCAGGGCGCGCTGGAATGGTGTGACCTCCTTAGCTCCAGGTATAGCGTCACGGAAGTTCGCAATCGAGTGGAGACGGCTGGTCAGGACCCGAACATTGCGGCCGGTCAGCCCGGTCCGGTGGAACAGAGGATCAGGCCGCCGCCTGAAAGAATGGCTCAATTTGATTTATAAGAATTGGGATCCGTAGGGGCTTGGCTTATGAATGGGATTTGTTCATGCGATGAATAATTTGTACTGATGAATTATGGTGAAGAATGGGTTAATGATGGTTCGTGCAGTGGATTGTTTGGTATACTTTGAGGATCATCCCGCAGATCGTAACTGGATACTCGAAGTACCTTCCTGATCATGGAAACCGGACAGGAAAGCATGGGTTTTCCACATCTTTTTGTATGTTTACCCCAAGGTATTTTCGATGATATTCTTCTCACTCGTAGTATTTGCTGAAAGTCCAAAAATTGATGAACATTGGATACTGTATGTTGTTGTAACGCCTTGTGACAGCTGCAGACCAATATCTTATTTTCCCATGGCATTCTTTTCTTCAAGGTGTGGGTCTCGCAACGACAGTTGAATCGCTGGAGAAAGGCCCCCAAGAGTTGCGTGGTTCCGTCAGAATGTGGCGTCAGCAATGGTGAAAAGGGGTCTGTCTCCATTTTGAAAAATGACTATCTTACGAAGAGTTGGGCAATGCTGCCAATTCCATCCAATTCCCACTTTTTCATAATTGCTGCTCGACATCTTCTTGACCTAACCTGGCAGTGAAACAGACCTTGTTCGAGTGAGTGCCGCGTCTAGTGGAGCTTCCGCAGGAATGCAACCTCCCAGTACTTGTGACATGTTCGTGGACTATTCTGGTAGGTAAACATCCTGAAATTTGAAGAATTGTGCATCCCCAAAGTCCCAATTTATTTGATTATGTCTCAAAAACATGAAGAAACAGCCGAATTCTTCCAAAAGTCATCAAAGATCAATATGTGTACAACATCCCAATATATCATCTGGTTGGTGGTTTGGAACATGAATTTTACTTTTCCATTCAGTTGGGAATGTCATCATCCCAACTGACTTTCAGTCCATCATTTTTCAGAGGGGTAGGGCTCAACCACCAACCAGTTTAGGTTTGTCTAAATATGTCATAATATATCATATAATATATCAACCAATATGTGTACAACATCCTTAAATATAGCATGATATATCCTTAAATACCAGATAAATCTCAGACACATCGCATGTTTCATCTCACGTTGGAGGCCGTGGGGGAAGCTCCCGACCTGTCACCGCCCGGAGCTCCCGACCTGACACTTTTCGGATCCTTTAACGACAGGCCTCTACTGGGGGGTTTAGACTAAAATTACTGGATTCTGTGAGATTAGAAAATTCCATCTATAGTTAGAGTATGAAAAAAGGATGCTGGTACTGATCTAGAATCTATACTGTAGTTATAGTATAGTTAGATTAGTTGTTTTTGAACATGTGTTTTTGATCTCTCTGATTGAAAGAAGTCCATCGCCTGAGGCAGCAGCTTTGGCGGCACTTCGTGCAAGAGGCGGGAGAAGATCTGCATAGGAAAAAACATACATTATTCTGGGTAAATTTCATCACGACCTCGCTGTTCTCCCTAAGCCTGGAAATCATGGTTTATTTCAGGGAACTCATCCCCAAATTGGCCGCAAGATTCAGGTTCGTGAAATATTATAATTTACTCATCATTTTTTCCTATCGAAATTGGTTATTTTGGTTGGGTTCCTATTTTACAAAGATCTTCCGGTTGACAGAAGAAAGTTGTATCATCTTGAAGTATAGTAGATCATTTTCTAGTAATCAATTCGGAAGGTTCCAGGGCATTTTAATAACTTCTTGACTCAAGCCCCTTTGAAACCATTTGCCATCACTCCCAGGTGCGCGAGTACAGATTTGGTACTCCGTTCCAGACTCGGCGAGTCATGCTGACTGTACAGACTGCATTGAGGTTCCGTCAGATCAAGGCGGAACATGATACACCTTGGACCTTATCTATACTATGTAGTGTGTCTATTTTGTTACATATCATATCATATCATATATATATATATAATGGTACTATGTCATATTATATGCATTTGATATGCTATCCATATCATTTCCATATCCATCTATATACATAATGAATGACGTGTTTTTTCCAACGTTCATGTTGATTCAACCTGTTGAACACCAAGGATTGCCGATGGTGCAGACGAGGCATCTGATGAAGAGGTTGGGTCCTGAATGGTTTGGCATAACCTGAGCGAAAAGCCACTTCCCGATGGCATTTTTTGCACTCCTGAGATCATATCTTGGAAGTGCAGTTGAAATTACTGTATTTTTTTGTGGGTATACAAAAATGTATAACATAACTATGGTGATATATTAATATATATATAAATTAATAAATATATATATATATATCATATATCATATTCATAATATGTAATTATCCACCTTTGAGTAGAACTGCACCCAGCAGACCCAGCCGGCCACGACGGTAACCCCACACGTAACCCGTGGCCAACAAGGTGGTAGCTGGAGAAGCACCCACAGTGGACGTGCCACCTGATGTGAAAGAGGCGCGGCCCTTCCTAAGCGTAGTCAGAGCATGAGCCGAGTAGCCAATCCTGGGGTTCGTTGCTGGTCATAGACAGAGTTCTAGTTCGACTACGTTAAAGTTTCAAAGAGGCAGCATAATCTGAGGTGTTTTTTTTTCGAGAAATTTCGTCGGTGGGGGACAATGTTTCTGATCTGCCAGGATCAGCTGGTTTGATCTGTTTTGAAGCCTACCGCAGGTCACACTTCCCAAAGTGAAGCAGTTGACATTCCTTGGAGGTGCCATGAGACGTTGATCAACGTTTGATATTCAGAGAGCGACATGGATTGGGGCTGAGTGTTGCTGGCTCTTGTGTTTTGGATTTGTTTTTCAGATGCGAAAAGCTCCAGCATGGCATCTGGTGGCTCATTACTGGTGAAGCTCAAGCCCTTGAAATCCGGTACTTGTAGGAGTTTTTCTATGTCAGGTGGTCATTTTCCCCGTTATTTTCCTCAATAACCGTGTGTATTTGGTTGTTTTAGTTCTCTTTCTTGCTGGTTGAACTGGCCAATCCCCATGTTTTTTTGCTTAAATCCCAGGCGTTGCTGGTGAATTCTTTCAGCCTCATTTGGAATTTGTCACAGAAATTGATGATGGGAACATGTGCTGGAATCCCCGCATTGTATTTGTATAATCATATATATATATAAACATATATATATATATATAACCAGGGTTTTCTGTTAACAAAAGCCCAAAAAAACTCAATGTTTCGTTGGTCTCCTCAGGGGTCGTTAGTTTCTGCAAGGCCTACTCTGTTCACATGGCTTGGTCTGCCGACCACGTGCTGCAGCACTGGTCAGTCGTGCAGACCTGGAAGAGCTTTTGCAGGTGGGTCTGGGACCAATCTTTCCCATCTGGGCGAACCGCCGAACCCATGAGTTTCGATAAGCTTTTGATATCTTTAAGTTTTTGATAGTTCAATACTAAATTACTAAATATTAAATCTAATTTTGGATGCGAAAATAGTCCCATGACCTAGATATGGCCAATTTTAGGCAACCATACTGTATGGGATTAGGGGCCCTGCAAGTACCTAGAAGAATTTGCTGATATACCCATGGTTTCCGGACTTGTTTATCCATTTTTATGTTCTTGCATTATCAATTATAGTGTGCTTGGATGTTTGGATTACATAGCATCATCAATTTCCCTGTTGTTTTTATGATGATGTGGGGTTGTACTACCCTTTACATATTGGGGATTATCATGTTATATCCCGTTCTCAACCAGGCAGTTTCTGAAGGGACCTCGGCCAGCAGGCTTTTGAACACAAGTGGGATTCACCAGGAACGTGTTCTTCATGTTTTTTTTCCATGTGGGATTTTCCACTATAATCCATCCGCTAAAATGGGTGCCCATTTTAGGAAACCTCCATATTATAGGGTCTGTCTGAAAATGGTGTATATCCATGGTGTACCCCCCTGATACGGTACTTTGAAGAGGGGAAATTATGATTAACTGGGAAAAATGGGGGGGCCCTATTTTCAGACAAGACCAGATGGTTTTTCCATGTTTTTCCTAGATAATTTTTTGATTGATGCTTCGGTGTCATCAAAAACCATGCTGCGGAGATTGATGGTTGACTATGTCATGGTTTGTCTAAGTTTTTCTGATGAACCACCAAATATTGGGGGATGCATCGTTTTCAGAAACACCCAATTCTCCTGTATAGGTCTCCGAGGAAAAAGACAGGCGCCGGAAAGGAGGATTTTGTTGATTTGGGAGAATCTTGAGATTTGGTTGAGAATTCATCCAGGCTTGCCAAAGGTACTGTACATGTTATTTATCTCGGGGTAAATTTCATCACGACCTCACTGTTCTCCCTCACTGGAAATCATGGTTTATTTTAGGGAACTCAACCCCAAATGCCCTTAAGTATCTTAATTCAGGTTAGTGAAACATTATAATTTACCCAGATATATGATATGTAATTATATATATATATATCATACCCTCTGGTAGTCAAACATGGCAATGGAAAAAACACAAAAAATAGTTCGATGATATTCCCAGCTAGCAACCTGCATTAAGTTCGGGGATTTTCTAGCCAGCCATGTTTGAGGACACCCTTGCGGGTACCCCTAATCGTTGCTTATACATCCCATCAAAAATCACCATTACATCCCCATTTATGGTTGGTAAGAAATACCATTAAAATCCATTAAATCTCTAATTGGTGCCACCATCCCGATCAAATATTTAGTTGGCATGGGTTAACCTCCCACTATATTGATTGATTTGATGTAACATCCCGTCCTCCCATTGGTCAACCGTGATGAAACAAGCCGATCTTCGGGAGTTTGTTGATTTCGATGTGTTTTAGTGTGTTTTTTTCCATTTTTCAGATGTATTTGAGTTCAGTTTCAATGGTCCCATGGTAAAATCCCATTCAAATCCTATGTCCCATTAGATCCCAACATATACCATGAAAATCCCACTAAATCCCATCAAAATTCCTATAACAAAAACTTAAAACGCACTATGAAATCCCATGAAAATCCTCTTTAAACTCACTAAAACTCATGAAACCCATTCCAATCCCCTGAAACAATTCTTATTAAAACGACATAAAAAATTGATGACCAAACTCCGTCCGAAACAACGTTCCAGGGCCTGTCGGGCGCTTTGGGGCGCTGCTTCCATGCGACCCAGGCTCCGGAGCGGGTCGGAGCCTCAGTTTTTCTCGGTCAGTCCGTGTGGTTGGAGGATTCGATTGGTTAATGGTCTGGTTGGTGGTTAATGATGGTTAATCCATGTTAATCCTATGGTTAATGATGGTTAATGGTGGTTAATGGTGGTTAATAATTGTTAATAATGGTTAGTGATGATTAATCCATCTGGGTAAATTATAACGACCTCACTGCGACCTCACTGGAATCATGGTTAGTAAGGGGAATCATCCCCAAATGGCCTTATTTCAGGTTAGTGAATTATTATAATTTACCCAGATCCATGTTAATCCTATGGTTCATGATGGCTAGTGGTGGTCTGGTTGATGGTTATGTACCCAGTATGTAAAGCTGGTTGGTGGTGTGGAACATGGGATTATTAATGGTGATTTTTGGGGATTATTCATGGTTAATACTGGTTAATAATGGTGAATTATTAGTAACTGGTTGGTGGCTTGGAACCATGGAATTGATCTGTCAAGATCACCTATATCAAACTATTTCTGATTGGTGGTTTGGAACATGAATTTGGAACATGAATGGATGATTTTGTCCATCATATATGGAACAATCATCATCCCAACTGACTTTCATATTTTTCAAGATGGTTAAACATATATTGGGAATAATAACACCAACTGAGGAAGTCATATTTTTCAGAGGGGCAGGTATACCTTTCCCAGCAGGAAAATTTCCCACCAACCAGTGGTTGATGATAGTCATGGTGCATTCTTTTGTCATGGTGTTTATAGTGGTGTTAATGATAATTTTAATAATTCGATTTGTGTATTTGTGAATGGCGGTGTTAATGACTGTTAATGATGATAACATATATGATAATGATAATAATGATGGTCATTACATAATGATAATTAATCCATTTAATGATGGTTAATCCATTTAATGATGGTTGAGTATTCTATTTGTATCTATTTGTTATATAATGATGGTGTTAATCATGGTGTTAATGATGGTCTTATGAATGGTTAATGATGGTTCATGCTGACTTCGCCAAAAAATAATGATAATGTGGATTATTGGATGAACAGTGCCGGGTTTTTTGTCCCACCTTGTAACCCGTCGGATGATGGTGAATTTAGCCAGAAATGCCATGAACTGTGGTGGAATTGTGTGTTTGGATTACTATGTTAATGGTGTTAATAATGGTGTTAAGAATGGTTATTAATAGTCATTTAATGGTTAATAATGGTTAATGATGATGGTTAATAATATAATGGCAAATAACCGTTAATAATGATTTGTAAGTAATGATTGTTAATAATGATTGTTAATAATGGTTAATAATGATTTGACTTTTCCCGCGGAAATTGAGACCATCACATTTTTGGGGGCGGGAAAGAAGGTGAGCTCATGGGCCAGAAAAGGCACTCATTTGGAACACCAAACATACTTGCACTTGGTAAGTCGTGTCAGTGAACATGAAATCTCGTTTGAGATCGTTGAGAATCAGAATCTTGATCAGTCTTTTGTTCTCTGATCGGATAGGTACTACCGGTGTCAGATGAGCTTAAGCCACATTTACTGTATTACACTGTATCATATTTGATGATTCATGCTGAGTGAAAGATAGTGGCGAAAGCGCTTGCAAAGAATAGTTGACACATGTTGACTCATGTTGATACTAAAGATCTGAATTCACTGCAGGCTGTGTGTGTGTGTCGCTTGCGCATCGATTTGTCTCACGCCGTGCCTAAAAAACATTTGGGCTCACCATCAGATGAAGACATCATAGTGTGGGGCCCTCAGCAGACGGGCCACGTTTTGATGGCAATGAAAAAGGGGAACACGATGTAACGCGACCATGAATCAGTGGATTTAGGGTTCTCAGAGAAACCCAGTTATCATCCCTTATTTTTCTGACCTGAAGTCTCAGGAAATGTGATTTTCCCAAGGAGAACAGGTGATTTTCCTTGGTGTGTCTGAAAAAATGGGCTCCCATCAAACCGAAAATAGCATATTTTTGTTATGGTAATGATGATGATCCCGTGGATTTAGGGATATTGACAGATGATTCTCAGACCTTTGGAATATTGATTTAATATGGTTAATTATGATGAATAATGGCTGGTTGGTGGTTTGGAACCATGGAAATTTATGACTTTCCAGAAACAGTTGGGAATGGAAAATCATCCCAACTGACGAACTCAGTCCATCATTTTTCAGAGGGGTAGGGCGAAAAACCACCAACCGGATGGTTATAAACCATCATTAACCATCATCATTAACCATTATGAAAATAGTATATTAACCACAATGGTAGGTTGATAGGTATACCACCAACCAGATGATTATTAATCATCATTAACCATCATTTTTCAGAGGGGTTGGTTGAAACCACCGACCAGGTGCAGCGGCCGCGAGGCCGCTTGCGGCGGCCATGGTGAGTCGCAAGCGGCGGGACTCCAGCCGCAGGCGGGTGTGAACCTTTCACTATTTTTTGATCATCCAGTGGAATGGGGTACACTATGATATATGGTAATAGATGCTATCTATGGTAATAGTATATCATAATATATCATAGTTATACCATAAATACTATGGTATATTATGAAACTATATACTATTTTCAGACTTCGATCATAATAGATCTGGGTAAATTATAACGACCTCACTACGACCTCACTGGAAATCATGGTTAGTAAGGGGAATCATCCCAAAATGGCCTTAATTCAGGTTAGTGAATTATTATAATTTGCCCAGATAGATCATAATTATGAACCCTCCAATTCTTAACAGTTTGCTGAGGCGGAGCCGCAGCCGTGGCCGGCGGCGTGGTCGAGGTCGGCGAGAGAAAGGCCCGGCTTACCCTTCCCGGAAGGGTGGCTGGAATCCCCCAAAAAAACATAGGAAAAAGTGAGAACATGGTGCTTAAACGTGGCTTAACCAACCAAAAATGAGGATTTAACATGACTTAACATGATTGAACATGATTTAACCACTAACCATAGGTTCTTTTGGGGTGATCCTGGTTTGACCATGAGAAATGAAGATTTCACCGTCAGCTTTCAAGGCTTTGTTTAAGGATTGTGGAACCTCAAAGTATTAAAACATTCCATGGTTCATCATCATGTTCCTTCAAATAGCCGTAAATTGGAAGCCCGCCACCAGTTTTGAGACAAATCCAGACTGGTTGCCTATGCCTCACTTTTCCCTCGCAAACTTAGTGCGGAATGCCCCACATTGAGGATCATTGAGGAACCCCAAAAAAAGATAGGACATGTCTATATTGTAAATGTATAGACATGAGTATTTCCTAAAATGGTGGTACCCCTAAATCATCCATTTGAATGGGATTTTTCATGAATTCAACCATCAAGCGAGCTTGGGGTATCCCCATTGAGCATCATTGAGCAACCCAGTGACTGGGAGTCTTCTGCAGGTTCTTCCTCATCCTCAGATTCCTCGTCCTCAGGTGGCTGGAAAATCGATCATGGGGGGTTTATAGCTGGGAAATTCATCTGCAAACGCTTGTAAATGGGACATCTTCCAGGTTTAAACGGTTTGATTACCGGAGAGTACTGGGTGAAAGCCCTAAGTTGTCTCAGGTAGCACTTTGCTGTCTCATGTCAGCTTGCCAGGCGGAAGAGATGAAATAAACACTACATAAACACTAGATGGATGGGGTACGGAAAGTAAGGGCGTTCGCCTGTGCGTCATATCATAGTTGACATCATTCAGTCCTGAAAATGGAATGATCAACAGAGCACAGCCACTGCTAAACGCCTGCTGCTCGATGATTTGTTCGGGTGTCGTGTTATACTACCCAAATCTCTCCTTTATAGAATAATAATCAATAAAATTACGTATATTATATATATAAATATACAATAATATATGATAATATAATATAATAATATATAATAGTATAATATAAGAATATAAGATAATATAATATATAATACAATATATAATATAATATATAGTATTACACAAAATAAAATAATATAAATCTATAATATATAATATAGTATTTAATATATAATATAATCTAATGTAACAAAATATAATATAATATAATATATAACATATAATATATAATATATAATATAATTTAATATATAATATAATTTAATATATAATATATAATATAATTTAATATATAATATATTTGTTTAAAATATAATATATAATATAATATAGAATATAATATATAATATGTATATATAATTTACAATATAATATATATATATAATGATATATAATATATAATTTAATATAATACAATATAATATAATATAAATATAATATTATATAATTTAATTTAAATATGATTTAAATATAATATAATATAATATAAATATGATATAATATAATATACAGTATGATATATGTATACTGTATACATGTATAATCATTTATATATTGAGGATTTTCATTAATAATTAATTAAATAATTATTCATCCATGACTCACTTCCACCAACCCGTCGATGCGAGGCTCCAAGCGAAAGCGGGAGCGGGAGCGGGAGCAGCGGGAACGGGAACGGCGGCAGCCCACCTCGCGCTTTGGCGGTCTGGAGGCAAGGGCTGTTTCCCGCGATATTTTAATATAGAGGATACTATCATAAAGCTGGTTTCGGATATAGGGTTTGGTTCAATGTTTATTTAGGGTTGGTTTAGGATTTAATTATTTAGAGTCAAATTACATTCCTTTTCTATCGTTTTTTTGGGGGTGCTTAATATGTATCATATTTTGGCAAAAAGATGCAAAAAGCTGAGGACGCAGCTTCCTAACGTTTGGGGAATGTTCAAGCTGAGGACGGAGCCAAAGAGGTCAGGGCAACTGGTGACGAGGTCGCTACTGTAAGCAGGTAGACTACCCTTTATGGTGATTTAACAGTTTGCTATTGAACATTGCCCATTAATGATAGTTTATTGATAGTTTATAGTTGATTTACCAAGAATGGTGATGTTCCAGTTCGCTATCTCCACCAGAGGCTTTTTCCAAGCTTCAAAAGGACATTTCGCCGTGCCACTGTGTCGTCAAATCCTGGCTCAAAAGGCTCTCAACAGGGAGTCGAGACGTTTTAGGTCTCGAAGAAAGGGCTGCGCAGAGGATGAATTGTGGTCGATTTAGGTCCCTAAGTGCTGCGCATTGGGTCTTAGAGTCTTAGAGACTAGCCAGCCACTCCAGCATTGCCCCACTCAATTCAAAATTCCTTCAGCACCTAGCGACTTTTACTCACCACACCTGCAACCACATCACAATAATTACTCACAATCCTCACCAACTATATACTCCTCGCAACCCAGCAGCTATACCTGAAGCTGACATGTCAAAGTACAGAAAGAGCACATCAGGCTCCAGAATGTTGTTTCTGTGTTTGTGTGTGGTGTATCGTTCTATCAAGGTTCTTGCGTTTCAGGTTTAGGCTTACTGCCGTTCCCGCTGCTTTTGGCAGACTTTCCCAGATCCGACACGGTCGGTCGAATTCATCAGAAGTGCCCTTCAGCACAGTGCGCCGCTGTCTTCCCGAGGGGTGCCAGTCCCAGCGATGGCGTTGAATTTTCGTCAGGTCGTGTGGTCGTTCCACAGCCAACATCTTTGGGATGTTTATGGAATTTGTAGGGTCGGTAACTATGACTATATCAATTATATAATATGAACACAGTATATTATACTTTTGTAGAATGATAATAATGATATGCGTTCCAAAAACATACGGCTTAAATTGATGGAATTTCCCACGAACTTTCGATCTCTTTTGACACTTGGACTGTTGAGAACTACCCTCTGGTAAACTAACGTAACTATGGAAAATCACCATTTTTAATGGGAAAATCCACTATAAATCACCATTTTCAATAGCTCTGTTAGTTTACCAGAGGGTAACTGGCTTCTGAGGTGCTTAACGGAAATTTCGCCACAGAAAGTAGACCTACCTCGAGCCCTGGAGTTCAACAGATTTGCCGAGCTATGGTTTTACTAACCATAGTATATATTATATAACTCCCAATATATAACCATAATTAACCATATATAACCCCTAAAAAAGATGGAAAAAAGATGGAAAAGTCACTGTTCACCATTTCAAGAGGATTTCACATTTCTATTTTTGGGGGCGCCTGGTGTCATAATCACGAAAGCTAGCTTCTGCTAGCTGAAGTCCCTCTTGCTTTTGCAAGGTATTCGTAGGGGCAATCTCCAATCTCCTCCTCCTTCCTCTTCGTTGTAGCCAGCCTAGCTTTCGTTCCTTACCCCGTTCCTTACCCCGCCGTGGGAAATCACTGGCACCTCCCAGGATAAGAAGTCTTGGAATCCGAAGTCCAGAGAAGGAGTGGGCCTCGATTTCTTACAGCAAGTGCTCAAAGGTATGTACCTGGGCTGCATGGCAGCTTCAGTTGTGGATCTGCATGGCAGCTCAAAGAAATTGCGAACAGATGCATATGCATAAGTTCATAATATATAATGATATATTATTATTATTTTATATATATATGTATATAGTTATATTATATATATATATTATATTATATATATATCATATATTAACACAATATAATTATCAACAAACAAAATTATTAATACATGCCTTTATATCTCTGAACATATATTCATGCCTCAAATGGTTTGGTGAATCGGGGTAATTAGTCCTGTTTTTTCGAGGCAAAACACATTCTGGCAGTCGCAACTGTGGCGTCTTTGGGCCTATAAATCCATTTGCACAGAGGCGAAGTTCTGTCCCTGAAAAAAGCATCAATGTGCCATTCGCTACTTGAAGTGTGTATATAGTTCATGACCATGTTTCTCAACCCATTTCCAAATGAGAGACGTCCCAGTTTATATAAGCCAGTTTAACCACCACTTTCCCTTAATGAAAAACAGACCACGTACAATCTCCATGAATACATGATTTTCCCATTAACATCATTGACACCTCCAGTTTGTTACGTACATCCGGCGGTTGCAACAGGTACGTCTTCCGACCTCAGCAATTGCCTCTCCCAACTGGTTGCAGTTGTGGTAAGATGTCCTTCCGAAGTTCCAGGCGCACCAAAAGACAGCATACAGGACATGAAACAAAAGCACTATGGTCAAATCATGTGCTGTTTTCCCATTGATGCGTATGAATTCTTATGAATTGGTGCATAATTTCATGTAATTTCATGTAAGTTGATGTAATTTCATGTAATTTCATGTAATTTGATGTAATTTGATGTAATTTGATGATGATGATGATGATGATGATTCACGTAGCTCACATATTGTCACGTCCATGAGATGGACTAGCCGTCTCAAATCAAGACTGCGCCTTGTGGAAATTGTGTATCGCCGCCCCTTCTCCCCCTGGGAAATCCTTGAGCCATGGAGGGTTGTTGGAAAATCATCCCAGCCAACGATCAATTCGGATTGTTCCAGCCATGTTTGTTGTTGATGGAACCCATAGCCATGAAGTTGTAATGGTTAATAATGGTTGATTTTCAGGGTACTGGATTTCAGGCACTTTTTAACGGGATTCTGCAGATTCCTGGCACAGGAAAACGACCAAAAGCCGAAAGCACACGGGATTCGCGCGACGCTTGGTTGCTCGACGCGTTCCTCGGCAAAAAAAAACCTGGTGATGACCCATGGCCTTGAAAAAATTGTGGTGCGAACCGGCTTTCAAAGTTGAAGATTTTCAGACTTTACCTGATTCTGGTTATCTACATATATCCATATATATGTCCAAATTCAGGACCCATCCATCATCCAGCCAACAGTTTTTGGTGAGAGTATTCCACCATTCCACTAGCTCCCACTTTCCGATTTCGGGTTGTGTCCACTTTCATTAAGCCATGCGTTTCTGGCAATGGCACTTCATCCCAGTTTTGAAGGTGTGCAGTGACCTGACCCATCCTCCAAAAAAGGATGTTTGATTTCAATACTGCTGTTCTTACTTGTTGCCACTATCATTGCTAGCATTCTTATTATTATTGGCTCATGTTCACTAAATTGATGTTTGTTATTATTGGTGTAATTACTATTACTATTATCCATTGTTACTTGTACTACTATTAGCTGTGGCAATATGATACTTACTATAATAGTTATTACTATAATATGTTGTAATGACATATTAGTGATTATTGCTAGTAGTATTGCGTAGTAGTTTATGATAGATTTTCTTTATCTTGTTTTTAAGGAGTGTTCATAGTAATAGTCATTATCCTATTTGGTTGGTGGTTTGGAACATTTTTATTTGTCCATTCAGTTGGGAATCATCATCCCAACTGACGAACTCAGTCCATCATTTTTCAGAGGGGTAGGGCGAAAAACCACCAACCAGATGATTATTAACCATCATTAACCATCATCATTAACCATTATGAAAATAGTATATTAACCACAATGGTAGCATTATTATATAACCCATATGCTCCATGTAGATGGAATATGTTACCACTGATTTACCCAGAATCTCCTATGTTGTCACTCTAAGGCCCATCGCTTGAAGGATGTCCAATCCTCCCCGACGTCCAGGTGGATTCAGCCGATGGAGGGTCTCACCCGGAAACATCGCTGGATGGTTTCTTTCATGGAAAAACCTGGGAAAAAATTGAAACATGGATGATTTATGGGGGTACACCCGGATGACTTAGGAATCCTCCATTTTTTTTATATACACTACTGGATCCATATGGAATTAATATATTAAGTGGATTCTAAATCCAACTGATTCTATTTCTTTTAAATATGGAAGTACTTAATAAATCTCAATTGGACGTACTCAAAATGTGGAAGTCCAAGTAAATCACATATGCATTAACAATCATTATTTGTAGTGTATCCTCTGGTAAACTAACAGTTTGCTATTGAATATTGCCATTTAGTTCGTTGATTTACCTACTAAAAATTATGATTGTCCATGGTAACGTTACTTTACCAGAGGATACCCAGCATCATTGACAATCAGTATCAAATAATAATTAACAATCATTAGATCATTAGTAGCTAACAATTATAATAATCATTGTTAACCGTTTACCATTATTAACCATCATCATTAACCATTATTAACCATGAAATGACTATTATCTACCCAGATATGTGTATTACAACTGGTTGTCTTGCTCAGAGCTCCACTGGTTTCAAAAACGGCGGTGTGATGGTTGTACCTATGGCATAGAAAGGGCTAAAAATATGGCCTTAACTATAGATATCCCAATTTAACTAAGGATACCTAAGATCAAACTGGAGTTTTTTTTGGACAAGCCATGTTTTTGGTTTAAAAGATCCTGAGATCGCCGTGCAGTTGTGGTCAATCAGCACCCTCTCCTGGCGATAAGAAGAGGGAACCTTGGCGGCCGCGGTCAACGACCTCGAAAAAGGCCACTTGAAATAGGGGGAAACATGGGGAACATATGGAAAATGAGGATGAATTATCATTTTCGGGGGGATTATACTATTTTCATGCAATGCCGTATCTGAGTATATGGCGGGTGTTATCAACCTCCACAAGATAGGTATAAGTGGGATTTATCGTTTCTTTTTTGGGGGGGTTGCCATAAGGCTATAAGGTAATTTTGTGAAAAAAACACACCAAAAATGGATTGAGTGGGATGAACATGACCCATATATCAGCTATTTTGAGGTTCACTAGGTACCAGGGTGCCATGATCCAAAAAAAAAAACATATCACATTCATATTCTCCAATGTATTCTCAGGGTTTTTGACCGATATTCTCAATTATCCATTATATACACGAACTATTAATCATTATGTGTATATATATACACCCTTATTTTACCATCATTTTACCATCATTTTACCATCAGTTTACCCTCATTCACCATATTCTCAGGTGATATCCCCATTTTTTCTGATACATCATACTCCATTGGACCTCATATTCTCCATATATTCTCCAATGTTACCCTCTAGTAAACTAATAGTTTGCTATGGAAAATCAGCATCTTTAATAGGTAAATCAACGAACTAAATGGCAATGTTCAAGTTCGCAAACTGTCACAAATTACCAGAGGCTATGGAATATCTCCAATTCCAATTAATTCTGTGTATTAGTGTTGACTATGGCTGGAACATATCCCTATTTTTTCACATATGGCAGTGGGTCAATACCTATAGATACATTTTTAGTGGGATGAACATCCATTTACCAGCTATTTTGGGGTTCACTAGGTACCAGGGTTTTGACCCATCCCCACATATTTTAATCATTCAGAAACCACCCACGTTTCGGAGCTGAGGAGCTGGTGCTGGATCGCCTGCGCTGGCGCCTGGTGGAGCGACGCGCCCAGGAGTTGGTGGTGCAGCTGCAGAAGCGCCACAAGGAGCGCTGGATCCAACACGTGCTGCAAGGCGGGATCCTTCGTGGATGTTTTTTTGGCTTGAAAAAATGGATGGTAAATGATGGTGTTTATGTTGGTAAATATATGGGAAATATATGGGAAATATATAAATAAGGTAAATATACATAGTAAATATGGGAAATATATGGTAAATATATGGTAAATATACGGAAAATGTTGGTAAATGATGGTAAATGCTGGTAAATATATGGGAAATATATGGGAAATATATATGGTAAATGATGATATAATGATATGTATATATATATATGGTAAATGATGGTTAATCATGGCTTATGAATGGCTTAATAATGGGATTTACTGAGATATATACTGATGAACAAACAGGTGAATCCTGGTAGATCGTCCCGGGGAAGTATCAGATATTTCCTGGGAGACCTGGATGGGATGAAGATGGGATGAATATAAGACTGGTTGGTGGTGACTGGAACATGAATGGTTAATCAATCTAAATTCATCTAAATTCCTTGAATCTGGTTGGTGGTTTGGAACATGGGATTATTATATAATAGGGTTTTTGGGGATTATTTTCATGGTTAATACTGGCTAATAATGGTGAATTATTAGTAACTGGTTGGTGGTGACTGGAACCATGGAATGGATTATGACTTTCCAGAAACAGCTGGGAATTTCATAAGCCCAACTGGACGAAGTCCATCATTTTTCAGAGGGGTAGGTATACCACCAACCAGAAGAGAATATACCGGTAATTTAACAGTTGGCGGTCACAATTTCAGAGACGTTGCCCTGGGTTCAGGAGGGATGTCAGCCAGAAAACATATTTATTATATGCCAGCAGAATGGAGGATCGAAAGTGTAAAACTATTTAAACATGAGCATTTCGGGCAGAAAATACAATTACCCTCCGGTAGTCAAACATGGCTAGAAAATCCATCATTGATATATATATATAATATATACAATATATATAATATACGATATATATAATATACAATATATATATAATGATACATAATAATGATATATATATAATATAATATATATAATATAATATATATAATATAATATGTATATATAATATAATATAATATATATATATAATATATATATACATATAGTTCGATGTGTTTTTTCCAGCCATAATACCTCCAATTCGTTCGGGGATTTCTCAGCTAGCCATGGCTCAGGTGGCTTTCATGCAGATGAAGCGATGCGGCGGATTTGTGAGGCAGATTTTGTCCGATTTTCCCCGTGCCCAAAGTGGATGAAACTGGACATTTACTGTATATTCATGGCCTATGAATGGCTTGTGACAATGGGATTTTTCCTGGCTTCTTCATGGGATTTTTCATGGCTTATTCATGGGCTGGTAAGAAACCATGGTTTGCTGTAGATGTTACCTCTCAAAACAGTCTATTGATCTCCATTGATCCCTTGCAAAAAAATGGTGATGTTCCAATACCAGCTTTTGTGTTACAACTTTTGAATTCCCAGAGCGTACCCATATTTTGTGCTGAATACATTTACAAGTCTGCTTTCCCGAAGTTTTGGCTGAAAGCATGTGTTGTTGTTTTTGAAACACTCAGAACTCAGAACATCAAGAGTCATCATGAGTCATATATATATATACATAGAACATGTTCATACATCTTCAAAAAGGTTCCGTTAAATGTCTTCGAAGCACCAAAAGAATCAATTCTGCACTGAGCCACCAAAACACACAAAAACCAAACTCATGCGGGAATTTGCCCTAACATTTACCCTCCAAATTCACATAGACCCTGAAGATAACCCATGGAAACTACTCTTGCAACACCTATTTGCCGTCTATGTTGATCTGAAGGGTCTCAGCCATTTTGACTCCATCGAACCTTGGTGGTGACTGGAACATGAATGGATTAGATGATTTTCCATAATATATATGACTATATGGATATATGGGATATGAATATATGGATATATGGGATAATATATATATATATGAATAATAATTAGATTATTACATTATATATGAATATATGGGATAATTCTTCCCAACTGACGAACTCCATCATTTTTCAAGATGCTTATTGCACCACCAACCAGCCATATTCCGAGTCCCGCGGGTCAACCGTGAGGCCTTTGGCCTTCGCCCAGAGTTGGAGCGTTGGGTCTTGCGCTTGGCGTTGCGAAAGGCAGAACAGTGGCCCCACAAGGCGCGGCCACGTGTTCGACGAGTCGAACAAATGATGGTTCAGTGGTTATTAATGGTCATTAATGGTTACCCTCTGGTAAACTAACATGGCTATTGAAAATCACCATTTTTAATGGGAAAGCTCACTATAAATGGCCATTTTCAATAGCTATGTTAGTTTACCAGAGGATATTATCTAATGGTTGCTAATGAATGGTTATTAATTAATGGTTATTCATGATTTTTTTTATGGATATGTTCCTGGTCACTAATGATGATTAAGGATGTTAAATCCTAAGGTTAATAAGGCTTAATCATGGTTATTCATGGTAAGTAATGGCTATTACAATGGTAATGATTTTCCCAGCTATTTCTACCTCCATTTATAATGGATTTAAGTCATAGCTATGTGAAATAACACCTACTTTGGGAAACACCGTACTCGATGGAAGGGATTGAGAGATATTTCAGGTGAATATCTTGACGTACTTCAGCCACCCTCTGGTAAACGTTTACATAGCTATGGAAAATCACCATAATTTATAGCTGGTTTTTTCTCAACGAACTTTCGGCCATGTTCAAGTTCGCAAAGTGTAACAGTTTACCAGGCCGGGTATAGTATATTGATGGTAAACTAACATAACTATGGAAAATCACCATGCTATTAATGGGAAAACTCACTATAAATTGCCATTTTCAACAGCCATGTTAGTCATTACCAGGCCGGGTATATTGATGGTAGATGGATCTGGGTCGCGACTTGACCAAGGTGGTGCCCGATGTGAATTTGTTGGTGAAGAAAAGCCCCTGTTTTGTTCGGTAGATCTAGCAGACAACCATAGCTGGTTGGTGGTGACTGGAACATGGGGATGGGTCATGGCACCCTGGTACCTTCTGTTCACCCCAAAATAGCTGGGATTTATGGATGTTCATCCCACTAAAAATGTATCTATAGGTATTGACCCATACCCACATGAATGGATTATTTTCCATAATATATATTAATATTAATGTGATGTCATCCCAACCCCATTGACGAAGTTCATCATTTTTCAGAGTAGGGCGAAAAACCACATCATCCCATCGCCGAAGAGCTTAGCGGCTGACCGCCAAATGTTCATATGTTAGAATGGCATATAAAAGTGATTATTGCTAGTATTGCGTAGTAGTTTATGATAGATTTTCTTTATAGATCTCATTTATCTTATTTATAAGGAGTGTTCATAGTAATAATCAATATCCTATCTGGTTGGTGGTTTGGAACATGGCTGGATTATGACTTTCCATTCAGTTGGGAATAATTAATCATCCCAAGTGACTTTCACTCCATCATTCATATATTTTTCAGAGGGGTAGGTTGAAACCACCAACCAGATGATATATATCATACTTTTCCACATACCCCCCGTTTGCGATAGCTAAGTTGGTGAACATAACTCCAATGAGCCATGGTTTATGATACTTGTAACATCTTATAACACGAGTTAATGGACATTGTAGAGAATTGCTCTTCGGGGAGATTTTGTGTATGTTTTTTTTGTGCCGTTTTCAACAGAGACACCAAGAAATGATTGAAAAACCCAGTGGGTTGAAGTTAAAGCAAAGGGGATCCTCATGGTTTTTCCCCATCAAAATAGCATATATATACCACATTGCCATGTCTGCTATGTGTCTGGGGGCTTTTTTTTCCAGCCACCAGCCACCAGCCACAGCCACAGCCAGGGTTTGTCTGAAAATAGTGCATCCACCAATTCCAATGGATGTGACTATCCCCATTAAAAAGGTCATAAATGAGGGTATACTTGGTGCCTCATCCCACGAATCCTAAGTGGGTTATATCCCTGTTTTTTTCAATGGGATAAGTAAGATGAATCCACTGAAAGAAGTAGCTCGTAGTTCACTAACCTAACCTACTTACTATATAGGTGGCTAGTTCGCCACCAAGTATACCCTCATTTCTGACCTTACTATAGCTGATTGGTGGTTTGGAACATGAATTTTATTGTTCCATTCAGTTGGGAATGTGATCATCCCAACTGACGAACTCATATTTTTCAGAGGGGTAGGGCTCAACCACCAACCAGATAATGGGGTATGTGGTATACTCACATCCACTGGAATGGGGGGATACCCATTTTCAGACAAAGCCCTCAGGCGTCCTTCCAATCCTCGGCTTCTCCCAGTACCAGCGAAGACGAGGCGTTGCTCTTCCATCGGCGCCTCGCTAGGGACGAGAGGTACCCTTTTGCGGCCAGTGGAAGATCTATAGTTCATGGATATGGCTATAGTTAATGGCTATAGTTAATGTTGATAGTTACTGGATTTGAATGGTAGTTAACTATAGTTAACCAATCATATCTATAGTTCATGGAATTTTAAGGGTGCATAACCAACCATAAATGTGAATTTGATCGGGATATACCGGGGATTGTTATAATTGAGCCAGAAGTTGTGGATATGTTTTGGACTATTTCATGAAAAAGAAGCAACAATGTAGGGATTTGGGTTTAGGGATGTTTAGAGTTTACCAAGCAGAAAGGATTGACCAAACAGAAAGTAGAATACACCTGGAGGCGCATGCTTTGGTGTGAACATGGGGTATACCCTCAATTGTGTCAATTTCGGTAGGGAAAACGATCATAAACTAACCAATGGAAGGAATGGGGTACACTATGTTCAGACAATCCCATCACATCCCGAGGTATGTTGGATTGCTGGATGATTCTTGATACTACCGGTGTCATCAGGTATCTATAGTGGCTAGTCTACATCACGATGATTGATTTCTAAGAACTTGTTCTGTTGATTTTCTACAGCTTAGTAAGTTTTGGTCGCTGTCGCTAAAAACATTCCAATTTGGTTGGTGGTTTGGAACATGAATTTTATTTTTCAATATATTGGGAATTTCATCATCCCAATTGACTTTCATATTTTTCAGAGGGGTAGGTATACCACCAACCAGCAATAGATGATCAGAGATTGTATTTCTTGATCCCGATGCATTGGATGCTTGGAGTCTGGTATGGTCAGATGGAGAGTTCTGGCCTTCGAAAAAGTAGAGGAAAACATAGACATAAATCAAAGAATATCAAAGACCAAGAAGTGCGTGATGTTGTTCTCCAATATATAGTGATTATAATCCAACAATATCAATGGTAGTTGTTCATTATAATCCATTATATAGTGATGATAATCCATCAATTAATGTTGTTCTCCTTATTGATTTATTCTGGGTAAATTATAACGACCTCACTGTTCTCCCTCACTGGAATCATGGTTTATTTTAGGGAATCATCCCCATAGCTGGCCGCAAGATTCAGGTGAACGTGAATTATAACATAATTTACCCAGATGATATAGTGATGATAATCCATTAATTATTCCATTAGTTAATGTTGTTCTCCTTATTGATTTATTGGTTCTAGTTCTAATATTAATGGATTATCATCAGCTAAGGAGAACAACATTAACTAATGGAATGTTAAATAACATTAACTACTTACTTTGTTGTTCTCCATTAGTTCTTCTTTTATCAGCGCTGTCCAGATGTCCAGACCCCTCTTGGTTGCCATTGCCGAGGTGCGAAGAGATCGCAGGCCTAGATCGCGGCGTGAGATCCGGCGGGATTTTTCGTTCAAATGGATGGTTATCCCATGAAAATCCCATGAAAATCCCATGTTATAATGGAAAATCCCATTAAAATGGATGATTTCTGGGGGTACCATGAACTGGATAGCACGAACTGTTTTATAATAAAAGATATAAAAGGACATGTGGAGAAGAAAAAAAAAAAGAACATTGTCATATAGTGGGTTCTTTCAAGAACTATATGATACTAACCAATAATCAGGACTATTCAGGGGCTTTAACATGCTAAATACCATCAAACAGTTGGGATATTTCTATTGTAAATGATGGCTAAATGATGAAGATTATATAGAATTATACTATCCAAAAAAAAATGAGGATTCTCATCATCACCATCATCCATGAACTGGGAATCTGCAGAATCCCATTCTCAACAATCAACAAGTTTTGAACAGCATGACTCATTGGGGGTCTTGAACACTGGTCACCTGAATTTCACATGTGATACCCCCAGATTGGATGGTTTACAGCATCTTGAAAGAAAAAAACTGAATAAACAATGGCCATTTGAGAGCATCACTAAGTTTCAGCATCGTGGCCCTAGACTCGGCCTAGACCCATCAGCAGTAACTGTCCATTTTCGGTTGATATAGAATAAGTCGATAGCCATTGAACCGGATATTGCACTTATGGTAATGGTTATTGATAACTTCCATGATAGCCAATGATAAGATAATTTCTTGATAGTCAATAGTCAATAGTGACTTATCATTTCTGATAAGTTATTACACTTACTGTAAGTCCATTGATGATAATCCATTGATAAAGTCAATTTATAGCTGATGTACTGAGCCATTGATATATATATATATGTATATTAGATGATTCTCTTAGTATCTCTTAAATAAACATGGCCAGGTGACAGATCCTACTCCGAAGATGAGGCGCCGGACGGCTGTTTTTTTTTGAGGTGAGGAGTCTTCCTTTGTTGGGTTCCAACTTAGAAACAGATTTCAATTTTTCTCTGATCTCAAAGATGTTCAAAGTAAGAATGCTGATATTCACATAGACCTTTCAACTGTTTCGAACTTATTTTCCAGATCTATGTTTGCTTTAGAGAGTGTAATCCTAGATTCTGCAGAATTTATCCTCCAAACAGTTTGACCTTTGAGATATTTTGAGGCAGGACTTTCAACTAAAAATAGGAGGTGATTCTCAAGGTCTCAAGGTCCTGAGTGAATTTGGAAGAGGATACCCTCTGGTAAACATACAAAAAACTATGCAAAATCATAATGTTTAATAGGTAAATCAACTATAAATGGCAATATTCAATAGCTATCTTAGTTTACCAGAGGGTAGATAAAATGATATAAAGCCAGTGTTTCTTTTGTTATTTGCTTCGCACAAGATTTCTAGTTGTTCAACGGATCAAAAGGACCAGGAGCCTCTGCCGGACGGATGATCATCCCAGTTGGAAAATGTCCATATTCTGTTCCCAATATTCAATGGTAGTTTACTAGTTTACCTTACTATTCACTATTCCTTAGTTTTCCCTTTGAAAATCTGTTCTGTTCATGTCGGAATTTCAGGAAAAGTGAGGCACTATAATAACTAATTAATATGTGAAATGACTCCGCGAGTGAACTGGTTAGTGGATCCCGATGCCAGAAACCTCCAATTTTTCGGCATGAAATCCCAAGCATGTTGGATATCTGAAAATATCCTGGTTGGTGGTGACTGGAACATGAATGGATTTTGACTGTCCGTTTTGATTGGGAATATTTGGGATGTCATCATCCCAACTGACGAAGTCCATCATTTTTTAGAGGGGTAGGTATGCCGGTATACCACCAACCAGTTCATAATATCATTTGGACACCATGCTGGTCCAAATCACTGAAATGATGACCCCCACGGCTGCCCCATACCAGGATGGCTCATCCAGCAAGTTTTTCAGAGAGGGTGATTCACAAAACTGGGCAACTGAAAAACAGGATGGGGCCCCCGGAAACGAGCGACAGCGTTCAGTTGAGATATTTGTTTCAGTGGCTGAATTAACTATGGTTTATGGTATAGATATAGCAAATTAGAATCCAATTTCATTATGGTTTATCAGGGGTATTATACTTATAACTATGGTTTTCATGGGATATTATACTTATAACTATGGTTAACTCCAATAACTATGGAATACTATACTTATATCATAGGGTTATTAACTATAGTTATTGGAATACTTATATCATGGGGTTATTAACTATAGTTATTGGAATACTTATATCATGGGGGTATTAACTATAGTTATTGGAATACTTATATCATGGGGTTAATATTATAGTTATAACTATGGTTTTCATGGTGGTTTTCTTAACGTTCACATCACTAGACCACTAGGCCGATGCAAGTGATGAAGTCCACGACATCGAGGACGGGCCCGTTTTTGTTGCGACGCGGATGACATATGGGTATGGATCAATACCTATACCATTTTGAGTGGGATGAACATCCATTTTAACCCAGCTATTTTGATGTGAACAGAAGGGGTACTATTGGTTTTGACACACTGCCATATCGCCACTGGATAATATTATATATATATATATTATATTATATTTATATTATATATATTATATATGTATATTATATTATATATTATATATATTATATATATATATTATATTATATAGTTTATATATTATATATATATATTATATTATATTATATATATATATTATATATATTATATATATATGGCATATATGGGATCATTTTATAAGTTGGCTTACGGATAAGCCGATAAGCCTTGGATCCGATGCGTGGGATGCACATCCGCTACGGATGGCTCACAAATGTGGGACAGAAAATGGGTTACCCTCTGGTAAACTAACATAGCTATTGAAAATGGACCATTAATAGTGGATTTTCCCATGAATAGCATGGTGATTTTCAATAGCTATGTTAAATTACCAGAGGGTAAATCGATATTTCCCTAATCCCGAAGCTGTCACTTCTATTTCTCTTGATTTTTGTTGATGGTATTGGTCTTCATCCTGTCAAAGAATGGTATCTTGAGGGTGGCCTTGAAGCCGTCCCACATGACTTCTGAATAGGCTTCAGCCATGTTCAACCCCCTGTTCTTTTGGCGTACACATGCGTACATACCATCTCCCAACATGGGTGTGTCACCTCTAAATTGCTATTTTCATGGGCAACATAATTTATAATCGAATGGATTTTGGGCTACACTATTTTCACACAAACCCATAGAGACCCTAATTTCATCACTGGTTTCCATGACCTGTTTCCATGAGTGATGTCAAATCGATTGAAAAGTATGAAAAAATGGATCAATTGCCGAAGTTTTTTTGGGCCAAGGCTCCAGATGGTCCAGTGATGTCCAGTGCATGGATGTAGTTCCCTAATACTCGTAGGACCTTTGAGTTCATTTCAGGTGTCCCTGCGGTCCAGTAAATCCAATGATCCATCCATCTTCGGTCAATCGACTGGATGGGTAGTTTATATAGATTTATATAATCCTAACTAGTCTTTTGGTATCTTTTGGTATCATATTCCTAGGTCAATCGACTGGATGGGTAGTGACTAATCCTAACTAGTCTTTTGGTATCAATGGGATTATCTAAGATACTTATAGTGTAGTATATTCCAATAACTATATTCCAATCTTTAGTTTATATAATCGTATCTAACTTATCTACTAATGAACCAGCTACGAATTGATTTTTTTTCGCATCTGGCTGAGCCGTTTCTGGCGATAGTGCCATGGATCAAAAGGTCAGAACTTGGGACCTACATCAACCACATCACTGGCCGTATCGAAAGGATGGGATATGGGTAAGTCGGGTAAGTATCCCCAAATCACCAAAAATGTCGGTTTTGTGGATGACAATTCATCCAGAATATTGATTTATTGATAGTTGGCATATGAGAAACCTGTAGAAAAATGTATATGTTGTTATTGATTTACCATGTTTTCAAGAATCAGATTTCACCACATTGAATTTTGGGGACTGCTGTCAGGACGCAACGGGACCATCCAAGTTATGGAGGCGTGGTGGAGCCACAAATTTCGAAGAAAAAGCTGGAAAGAAAGTATGGTCAATATGGTGAACACAAGGGGGAAAAAATCATGAAAAATCTCATTTTTGGGGCTCATCATGGCTCATCTCTATGTATAGCTCCTTTTTTTGGCAGGGTATGTCCATGTAGCTCCTCAACCTGAAGCCATGGATTCAAACGTATGGACCCCCATTGAGTGTATCCATGTTGCAAATGATTCGCCTTTTCCAAGTGTGTGTTGTCATGTGTTTTTCTGTCAACCTAGGTGAAAAAAACCTGGAGGCTACCGCTCTTTAATTGACAACACAGTTTTTTTCCGCTTGAATGGAAGAACTGAACAACACATACTAACAGAACGTGGCGGTACTTTCCAGCCCACCAAGCACCAACAATTGGGTTTTTTTACTGAAAATGTAGGGGAAAAGGTCCCAAGTTTGATGGGGAAAACTCACCATGAAATCCTGATCAAAATCGCCATTTTGGTCCAAAACTTTCCACCAAGGTTTCGTTTGGGGCTATTTGAAATATCAGAAATATCAAGGGAAATTGGAGTATTCAACCATCCCAAAATGGGTCTCTTCTATAAATGCTGATCGTTTTTTACCTCACGTCGGATGGGTTTGGTGGATTGGGGTATCCCATAGCCTCACATTGAAGAGATTAGTGAAATATGACATCACCCAGGAAAAAATATATATATATATATGCATGCATATCTGGCTGGTGGTTTGGAACAGTAATTTTATTTTCCCCAATAGTTCGGATGATGGTCCAATCTGACGAACTCATATTTTTCAGAGGGGTAGGGCTCAACCACCAACCAGAAATTGAATGTATTAATTGAATGCTGTGAAGTTTTGATGGCGATTTTTTCAGTCTATCAATAGCAGCTATTTATTTATGAACTTCAGGGGGGCATCCTTGGAACAGATTTCTTTCGACTTCCAGGGCATCGTGGAGACTCCGAGTGCTGAACACTGTACAGAAGCTGGCGCCGTTGCTGGGGCTGAAGGGGTTGTGAAACCTCCCCGTTTTGAATGTACAATTTGGGATCCACAAAAACAAGGCATCCAGAACTCTCAACCATTTGGGTTTTTTATAAATCATCCCAAATAACTATATATGGTCATTACACAGTGAGTGAAGAAACATGAAGAAACCATACATTGGCAGTGGTCATTTAGTAGAGTGGATTGGGCCACCTGGGTTTTTAATGGCAATTGACCAAGCAATTTTCATGGGATAGAGATATTCTTCCTTTGGTTTGCCTGGCCTTGGGGACAAGTTGGTCCAAAAAGCATGGTATCACTCAGGTAGATGATTTAAAAGTTCGATCATATGGATTTTACGTGAGCTGGATATGAAACATGTCTTTGGTGAGGTTTGGTGCAACCCGTTTCCACCTGACCTACGAAAAACTATGGAAAAAAACACCCCTCGAAAACGAAGCCCTGGTTGAATGTATTGGATCTGTTCAATTTTTCGGAGTTGGGATGTTTTTATGATTACTAGATGGGTATAATAACTCATAGATTACTAGATGGGTATATGATTACTAGATGGGTAATGATGGGTATAATAACTCATAGACATCTCTGACATCTCAGATTTTCAGAGGCTGGGACGCAATTTTGCTGGCTTGCGTTTGTTGCAAGCCATAAGGCCACAAGTTTTGTCGAAGAAGGAAGTCCCTTCAGACACGGAGGAGGACCAGCCAGCCCTGAGGCCGATGGAGATGTGTACGTATCAATAGGTATCATACCCTCTGGTAAACAGCCACATAGCTATTGAAAATGACCATTTATAGGTAGTTTTCCCCTTAAAAATGAGGATTTTCCATAGTTTTTTGTTGCAACCAGAGGGTAATAATAACATATAATCATAATATACATATAGCAGCATCATATCGCTGTGAGTCAAACTATAAATTCCAGGCACTATTTTGCCATATGTGTATGTATATGCCAGTAGTACCGCACAAGGCGGTGGCGGAAGTTTCAAAGATATAGGGGAGGTGAGTTGTTGTGATGCATGGATGGCAGAGCGAATCCACTGATGGACCGAAACGTGGTTGGAGTTGTGCTTTTTGGAGTGGTTGCAATGGTTGCAGTGGTCACCTCACCCACAACTGCTGGATGTAGTGTGGTGTAGTGCAGCTGTAGTTGTAGGTGTAGTGTAGTGGAGTTGTAGTTGTAGTGTAGTGGAGTTGTAGTTGTAGTGTAGTGTAATTAGTGTAGTTGTAGTTGCAGTTGTAGTTGTGGTGTGGTGTAATGAGTGTAGTGTAGTGTAGTGTGCTCTAGTGTTGTGTTCTGTAGTGTAGTCTAGTGTAGTCTAGTGTAGTGTAGCGTAGTGTAGTGTAGCGTAGTGTAGTGAAGTGGAATTAGCATAGTGTAGTGTAATGTTGTGGTAGTTGCAGTTGTAGCTGTAGTTGTGGTTGTATTGTAATTAGTGTAGCGTAGTGTTGTGTAATGTAGTGTGATTGTAGTTGTAGTTGCACTTGTAGTTGTAGTTGCAGTCTAGTGTAGTGTAGTGTAATGTAATTAGTGTAGTGTAGCGCAATGTAGTGTAGTTGTAGTCGTAGCTGTAGCTGTAGTAGTAATAGCAGTTGTAGTTGTAGTTTTAGTTGTAGTGTAATTATAATTAGTGTAGTGTACTGTAATTAGTGTAGTGTAGTGTAGTGTAGTGTAATTGGTGTAGTATAAGAAAAAACTAAAATATAGATTTTGTTTTTTATTTGTTTTCGTTTTTAATTGTCAAGGTCTCTCTGGCGAAGAACATCAGGACAAAGTTAATATGTACTGTTTCACATCTATTTTGCCAGAAGCTTCAAAAATCAAAGACTAAAATGGAAAAATGAATGTCATTTTTTGTGTTTTTGTTTTGCCGGAAACTTCAATTTTTCAATAAATAGAATCTTGAATATATGCGTCTACAATTCTATTTGTTTCAATTTTTGGAAGCTGCGAACAGAATAGAGGAAATATATACAATAGATAGTCGTTGCATTGTTTATTTCCTATTTTTTTTGGGGCGCCTCTGAGAAAATAGAAAAGTCAAGTAGATAAAATGAAAAATCATTGATTATCATTATTAACCACTATTAACCATAGGAAAACCATAGGGTCTCCCCATAGCTGTGAGGAGAAGCTGAGCCTTTCCCTCCGGGAGGCGATGGAAAACGCCGTGGGGGTCACCCGGGCGTCGGACTGGAATTTTGGGATCCCATGGGGAAAGGCCGGCTGGAAAATGATCAACATTCATTGGATTCATTGGATTCATGGTGGGTATTGGTGGGTAAACTCCAGATCTATGTAAAAAAAACAAAATGTTGGAAATGGAGAGAGCCTCAATTGATCAATTTTGGAAAATGTAGGGAAAAATCCTATGCATTGCCATGTTTATGCCTTGCTAATGGGATTTCAATGGGAAAATGAGAATAAACCATTGGATTTTAATTTGTTTGTAGTACTGTAACATGCATTGACATGCATTGACTATCCAATGTGGGAGGGTGTGGGAGGGTCAGTATTCACCCATCAACATGTAAATAGCCTGATTTATTCTGGTTTTTGATTTCTGTCGTTAAACACCACGAGTCATTGAAGAGTCTATGACCAGTTTGTAGGATAGTGGTGGAGTTCATATTTTCACTGGAGGATTGACACCACCAAGTTCCAACAGATCCACCAGGGATGCCTTGGGTCGTCCCGTTGGGGATCTGCTGGATCTCCCGAGGAGAGATATGCTGCGGAAGCACGCAGTATGGAGGTTGTTCCTGGGATGATCCCTCAGCAAAAAATCTTTCCAAACCATAGTGTCACAGCATTTGGAAATGGGGTTTACCATAGTTTTTTGGGCATTTTTGGGCAGAAAATGATTGGAGTTTCAAGACTTACCGTTCCACTATGCCTATGCCTTGGTTGGGAGGGCCTCTCATAGAAACAGCAGCGGCTCCGGATTCGCACGTTGGAGGTTCCAGAAGCAGAAAGCCCTTGTGAGCAAAAGGTTGAAACCCGAACCTTGGCATGATGATAAAGCACGGGAGTTCATTCTTGGGACAACAATCGGACCTGATGCTTGTAATGTTTGCAGGATTGTCATGTTTGGAAGGGATCGCCTGCCTATGCCGAAAAAATGGGGTTGAGTAAGGTCCCCTGCCATGGAAGCCACCTGAAAAATCGATTGAAGGATGTTGCCGGAGTCAATGATGACGGCTTCAGGTTCAAACAAGCAAAAAGTCAGATTGAAAGAGTTGTAAGTCGTATGTATTGTATGTCATTACCGTGGTAGAAACGTGCAACTGCCCAGTTTGTCAACATGACCCAATCCCACTTAGGCATCAGTTTCACAGACTCAGAGATTTGCACCGCGGCTGCGAGCAGAGTTCACCTGGAGGTAAATCACCATCCAAAGTAATGTGGGATGGGCAACCAGGACACCATCCCCCATGATGAATCATTTGGGGGCTATTATATCTGTCATATCTATCATAAATCATCCAAAGTTGGGGAAAATCCGACCTGGAGAGATAGATCCCCCTGCTCTATCTTTGGCCCATTGACTCAACGAGCATTTCTTGGGAATCTAAGCTTCACTCAGGTGGAATACGAGACACTCGGGCGCCAGACCTTCCAAGCAGATGACTAGCTTCGTTGTTGTCGATGAATGTCCCCATTTCGGGGTTTAATAAATATCCCACAGTTGTCTCACAACAAGCACAACATCCACCTATTTGTTGCTTAGAACATCTTAGAACCGCATAGTACATCATAGTACCATATCTTTAAAACCGGGTGTCGCATACTACCATATGAAAAACCCTCAATCGCCCATGTTAGCCAATATCTCCGGCTTTGTTGGTTACAGTTATCAAACAATACTCCAAACATAGCAACCCCATGTAACCCTTAGAAAGGCAAAATCCTACTGAAATAATGGCACCTGGAGGTGACCTCTGTCAAAATTATCCGCAAACATCCTGCACAAAAAACAAACAGGGTCAAACACCGGCAAATCCAAAGTCGTAGATTCACATTATCCATTATCTAGACTGGATCTTTATACTTTTGTCATCCATTTCATGTGTTCAGCTTTGTACAGCTTAAAATGGTCTTTGGTGCGCAGATCTGGCCACAGCTACATCCCTTTTCTGCCACCTTTTGGGGATCGATCAAACATGGTGATGGAAAATCCTCCGTGATAGGAGTTTAGAGAGGAATTGTGAACGTTTCAGAGATCCCATTTATAGAGGACATTAGAGGACTTGCATGAATTTTCACTTGCCATATTTTTGATTACCCATGTGAATGATTACCAGAATTAGAGGGCTTACCCCTGTTGATTGGCGAATTAAGGGAAGTTAAGCTTTTAAACCATAAAATCCAGCATTGATAGTTTATTTTCATGTATTTTCCCAGCTGTAAACCTATAATTTGTAGTTGGTTTTCCCAGCTGTAAAGCGCCATTTTAATGGCGAATGTTCAATTGCCATGTTTGATTACTGTACCAAAGGGTATATCATCAACCACATGGTTTTTTCTTTTGCGCTGTTGCTGATAGGTTTCTTCACCATCGACGACGATGGAGACACTGAGTCAGGAGAGGAATACACCCGGCAGTTGCAGACCAAGGCGGGTACGGATGGGAGCCGGGCACAGACTCTCCTCCCCCAGTCCAGGTAGGTCCAGGTAGGTGCCTAGGGCCTAGGGAGCAGGTTGATTGTTATCCTAATTTGACATTAGTGACAATACTTAGAAATGTTTCTTGATTCTATAAAGATATATACTATATAAACTTGTTTAACACACAGAATCAAGAACATAACTGGTTGGTGGTTTGGAACAGCTGCGGGCTCAACTCCTCCCAGTTCAGCGGTGCAGCGGGGCTGGCTAATCGTTGAGCGGTTAGTACACCCTGCTTTGGTTGCATACCGTTCCATGTGTCGCTGCCATGGCTCGTGAGTCTCCGTTTGTCTCGCTTTGACGATGACGCTGGCTACCCGGTTGTGGCCTTTCCTTGTCTTGATGGTGGTCTACATTGCGAAGGGGGTGCAATTGTTGCACCGGCAAACTTCTGTTCGGACGGTCAGGTTCCAGGATTCGTGGGACTACGACGGCTTGTTCGCCACACATGTCTTGAGCAGCAAGTGCGTGCTCTGGCAGCTCCCACAGAAACCCCCTGGGACTCTGTGTGCTTCCCTGGTCCCTAACCATAGCGCAGAAGCAGCACCGTTTCGCTTTGAGAAGTTTGAGTTCAAACAATCAGTCACTGCGGGCAGTTCGGCATGCACCAACACTGCTTGGGAAGGTATGAGGAGCCTTGATACAGCCATGGTTGTTCCACAAGTGAGCTTTTCGCCCTGGTTGGATTCTTTGCCTGGATTCATGGTCGAGGTCCCTGACTTGAAACAGATTAGACAACGATTACTGCGGTTGAACATCTGGGTGGCGCACTTTCTTTTGCCCGCTTGGGTGTACACTCTTCAGCTGATGGTTCGTGCTAAGATTGCGATTGGTGATTGGGGTCCCTCCCGCGATCGTTTCTGGTTGGTTCCTAAGACTTGGCTAGGCTTTGAAGTGCTTCACCGCTCATGTCAGCAGCGGTTTGTGTGGAGGACTGGCAAGTTTCGCACAGTTTGGACGAATTTGTGGTCACATGTGAGTTCATTCCTTGGCCCCGCTACGACGTTCTTGTTGCTGTCTAAGCAATTGGAGATTGTTGTGACGACGTTGTTGGGCCACTGTCCGCACGCTTGGCTGGTAGAGGTGATGGTTTTCTTTAATTTGACTCGGGCCGCAGAGCGGCTGCCCTGCACGTTGACATTTGCCGAGGCTGACAGGCCACCCAACAAGGGTCGCTTGTCCCTCTGATTACTCTGGTACATAGTGCTTCGTTCCATACCCCGAGCAAGCACGCTTATAGGAAATGGTGGAAATGGTGGTTTGGAACATGAATTTTATGGTTCCATTCAGTTGGGAATGTCATCATCCCAACTGACGAAGTCCATCATTTTTCAGAGAGGTAGGGCTCAACCACCAACCAGATTACTGTTGATCTTGACATCAACCAGATATCAACTGGGCATCAACCCTGAGAATTGAGCCAATCTGAGCAGGTCTTTGACGGCCCCAGTGGCCACAAAGCTCGAAAGGCCAGCTACTGCTGGTGTGATGAGGCCGACATGGCTCAAGCCACGTGAGGAACTGGTGAAATGCTGGAGAGGAACATCGAAACACACTTTGAAATATCAGTTGTTATCATTTCTTGGAATAGGTTTGGAATTGGTTCAACATTGTGTTACTGGTTGAGCAATTTGACTTGGGAATTGAAGCAGCACAAGCGCCATGGTCAAGTTAGCTGGATTTCACCACTCAGAAGGATGACTCAGTGAGATATTATAATGGGATATTTCATGGGATATATGATCAACCAGAATCAAAAGTTGGATGATATAACATGATATGCCCATATTGGGGGACGATCATCCCTCCATTTCATAGGGTTTTATGTACCCATGATGTTTGGATTCCCATGGCATGGGATGGATGACCAGAAACCAAAAGGTATCATGTGTTGACGCTAACACACATGGTCCCCCGACATCTTCCAATGCACCAAAAATGATGATTTATTTGAAATGGGGGCCTGAATCCCCTATAAATGGAGGCACTAACTATGGGAAAATCTTCTATAAATGGTGGATAGTGGGGGATTTTCCATTGCCACGTTTAATGCACTGATCGAGAAGTAGATGCCAAGGTATGATTTAGTATGAAGTTCATATGGCTTTGTCGGAAACTGGTGTACCCCAAATCCTATGGGTTACTCCACCAGTTTCCCTATTTTTTCATGTCCGTTCGACTGGGGGAATCCGTAGCTCCTGAATCCTCATGGATGGTACATGGTGAACTATGGGGAATGATGGGGATGATCGTCTAGGGAAACTCCACCGAAAATTGATCAAATGCCAAATGCTTGGGGGGGTTTTTCACATGTAGAAATTGATCTGGTGTTCAACCGTAAATTCTCCAATCATCAATAATCCTGCACATCTTTCCTCCAGGATTCTGACTCCGAAAGTGAAGAGGAAGACTGGAAGGATCAATGTGACGAGATGGCCGAGCTTTGGTCTAAAACGTTTTTTTTTTAATGGCAATGGGTCTGTGGAAATTTCAAGGGAGGGGGTCTGAAAACTGGTGGATCCCAAAAATACCATGGCTGTTTTAATGGGAATCCATGGTCATCCATCACGACTGGATGATGGGGGTTACCCCCACTTAGGAAACCTCCAGCCATGATGGTAGCCATGGGTACTTTCTATTCTGGTTCGTGCTTTGGAACATGAATGTTATTTTTCTATATATTGTGAATTTCATCATCCCAACTGACTTTCAGTCCGTCATTTTTCAGAGGGGTAGGACGAAAAACCACCAACCAGCTATTGTTATGGAGAAAATCATCATGTTTTGCATAACAATAGAAAGATACGAAGCAACAATAGCCATGGTACAATAAAATGATGATACCAACAATCGCAAGTGAATGATAAGATACGAACGAGCCAGCATTTCATGGTAGGTTTTCCCCCCAGTGAAGTGAATGGCGGGTGGAAAATGCGGGATTTGCTGCACCATGCTGCACCATGCTCTCTTGCTTCATCCAGGATGAACCTCCCAGCCTTGTGTTGGATGTTTCATACTGCGAAGGAAAGGATGTCTGATATTGTCTGATTGGTTTAGACCAAAAGTGTGAAAAGCGTGTGATGAATAATTAATGTTCCAAGTATTTGCACATGCAGAGAGTTTTAGCATGCCAAAGCTGCCATTTTTGAAACCGTATGATGTTCATGTCTACGGTCATGTCACCTCAGCGCAGCTAAGGAACTGATGGGTCAGCAGCGGCAGATGGTTCTTTGGTCGGGGTCATGGTCGTGAACAGCGAACCATGGCCGTCCATCTTTCCGCGGCGGCCACGTGGCCGAACATCGCTGCGCCGATTTGATCTTCCAGGGATGCAGATGTTGAGTCCGCACGCCCTGCCCAGTCCGACCGGTCTCCCGAAATGCGAGTTCCGTCCCATTGCATGCAATCTTTGTTTTGACGAGCTGTGCATTTGAAACGCTGGTGGCAAAATTGCAACGGACCCGATGTATTGCTAGTCTGAAAAGACCAGACTCAGTGTTTGGAGGTGTTTCGTATGTCTTCACAACGAAGACCTAGAATGACCTAGAATGACCAAGGCTATGACCAAATTCAAATGACGTGTTTTGGCCGTCGCATGCTTGTCACCAGTGGTGAACAGTTCACAGTGCGCTTTTCAATCACTTCAGTTGCTTGGAGTGTGGCACATCTTGAGATTGACTCATCAGTTTCAGCTCAGCTGGACCCTTGCACCTCTGGACTCTTGCACGGACGAAAACGTTTGGTCGGCAATAGATTCAATAGATGTTAAGTTTGACGTTTTAGGCCTGTGAGGGGGGGGTTCTGTTGGACACCGGTGACTTACATCATTTCCTCCTGCCTCATGTTTGTCTTCTCATCATGTGTTTTGGATTTCTGTAAATTCTAAGTTTTTGTTTGCAATTTTGTATGTTTTAGATATTTCATTGTCATGAAAATGCAGAAAACCAACCTGTTCTTGTTTTTTTGGAATTCTCCAAAGCTAAGAACATAATATGTTTTTTCTTGATTTCATCATTTCCACTAATTGGGCCCAAACCAACAGACAGAGGCCCCAAGCTTGGTTTTGAAATAGATGTATATTTATTGGCCTTGAGCAGCCATAGATTGGAATTGATGTTATCAGATGTTATAGATCATCCCATTTGATCGCATATTTTGATATGGAGGTTTCCTAGAATAGGGGTACCCCCAGTCATCATCCATTTATAGATGGATTTTCCATGAAATCAACCCAGCTATTGGGGTACCCCCATGACTATGGAAAGCCGCATATGGGATGATAGGAGTGTCAGCCGTTTCCCCAAACACAAATTACCCAATGACTTGGAGTATTTTGTCCCGTCCCATGACGGAATGCCGCTCTCCAAGCTGAAGTCGATTGAAGGCATTGGCAATATCTTCTCACAGCCTCTTGGTTGCCCAAGACTTTGCAGACTTTGAAGGATCATCAACTGTCTAAAGGTTTCATTGGTGACATCTTTTGAATGACCTGTGACCTGGGGTTCCAAGTTGAATACCACTGGTAGAGCTCCGAAACACTTGACACACAGAGTTCCAATATATAGATTTTTAGAAGTCAACAGTCGGAGCTCTGCCAGATCGATTCTTAGCTCACGCTTTCCGCGTGGTACAGACGAGAGAAAATCCATCACTTACACCGGGATCTCGCTGTTTAGTGCTTGATAGCAATTGATAGCACTTAGCATGTTCCTTGTATGATTTTAGCATGTTCAGTTGCCCAATGAAAGACGTGGAATGCACGTTTACCGTTTGGTGGTTGACCATGTGGTGCTTTGACGAGTCCCGGTAAGGACCCTGATCCTTGGTATGCGCCCATGGGTGGGAGATAGTGGCCAAGGTGACCAGATGCCGGAGCCAAGAGGTATAAATTAAGTGTGTCTACGTATCAAATATAACAATTATATATACATGTGTCTGTATAAACATAGAAATATATACTATAGTTACTTAATGTTACTTATCATAGTATACGTATCATATGTACAATATATATATATATATAATTATATATATACATATATACATATACTATATATATATATATATTATATATATTATACATATTTATACATATCGTATGTACATATACAATCATAGGCTTCATGTGTCCACACCTCCGAGATGGTTGGTAAAACATCGGTTTCGTCCGTAAGATCCTCGGGGAAGTTCTGGTCATCTCCGAAATCGCTCAGCTCCCACGTATGTCGCGAGCGTTGACGGCAGAAGCCGAGAGACACCATTTGTTGCGACAGGAAAATTCGGACCGAACATGGACCCAGGGCGGAGGTGATCAAGGGACAAAAAATGGGATCTAATGGGTTCAAAAGCAGGGAACCGATGGAACTTGGCAGTTGGTAAACTCGTTCTAACTGGTCGTTGGTTACATTTTTTCCCTGATGATCATGATGATCAATGTGCAATTGATGAGGATCGTTTGCTGATCGATGCCCCTGAAGGCATATTTAAGGATTACAAGTGGGTTAGGGGATTATTAATGGTTTAATGGTGGTTAATCATGATTAATAGTGATTAAGTGAGTAATAATTCTTAATGATCAAAAAACTTATTAATAATGGTTAATAATATGTAATAATGATTAATAATAAAATAGATAGTGATCAATGATGATAATAGTTTTCATGGGATGATGGAATTCAGTGGTGAGCTTGTCACTTGCTGATTGGATACTCTGTGGGATGATCCTGGTTTTGTATAGCATGAAATTGATGATCCTGGATAATCCATGATTCATGGTTAATAATGGTGATACAAATGGTTATTAATGGTTATTCATTGGATTATTAATAATGATATATACTAATTGATCCCATTCCATGAAAATTGATCATCATTATTTTCATCATTCCAATTGATTATTAGTGTATACCATTAATAATGATGATCATTGATAATACCATATTTAGTAGATTGATACCATTATTATCCATTATCAAAATTAATTGCTTATTCGTATACTATTAAATACCATCATTCACCAGTATTGATCATTATTAATCATCGTTAGTCGTTATTAATCATTATTAATCATTATCAATCGATATTAACCGTTATAAACCGAGATTAACCGATATTAACCCTTATTGACCATTATTGACCACCATTACTAACCCGTTAGCAACCATCATTCTATATCCATATCACATGCCGCATCCCCTGCATACATCCAAACTGCCTCGCCCGGCGAGGCAGCGGTGAAATCTGCCACACAGGTGGAGATTTGGAATGCAGACAGTTGGTGTTTAAGAAAATAAGCTTCGGTGGTATCCCCAACAGCCGCAACGCTTTATTTTTACAAATCCTTCTGAGGCGTGCTGCGAAGCCAAGCGCTGGAAACACCTCAGCTGGGTTTCCATGAGTTAAATGGCCGCAAAACCCTGTTGAACTTGACCTGGCTCTGCACCAAAGCCTCCCCGACCTTCTCTGGAACCTTCTCCAGAACCTTCTCCGAACCCTGTTGAATCTGACCTGGCTCTGCACCGAAGCCTCCCAGACCTTCTCCGGCCTTTTCCGGAACCTTCTCCGGAACCTTCTCCCAACCCTATTGAACCTGAGCTGGCTCCACCAATGCCTCCCAGACCTTCTCCGGAACCTTCGGAACTTTTTCCGGAACCTCGTTGAACCTGACCCGGCGCCTGCACCAGTGCACACCAGAGCTATTCTGGGCTGAAGACCCCATTAGCTCACGTTGTTGGGGGAAAAACGACCCTCTGGTAAACCTACAAAAAACTAGGGAAAATCACCCGTTGTTCATGGGAAAATCAACTATTTCTATGGCAATGTTCAATAGCATTTCAATAGCGAACTGTTCAATTACCAGGGGGTAATAGAATATGGAGTGATATCCAAATCCCTTGATTGTTAGTTATATATCCCACTATTATCCCATTCCGCCACTATTTGCATATTTGTTTTGATGTCCTAACTTGAGGTAGATAGTAGTGATATATGGGAATGCAATGCGCGTAATGCTTGGAGATATAACATGACAAAACCAACAATCAAGGGATTTGGGTGTGTCTAATGGGAAAATCGGCCCCAGCTTTCTGGGAATGTGGATGGCATGGGGTACCATGTTTCAGGTTCCTGTCATTTCGAGCTGCAGATTTGTGAACATCTGAAGAGCTGCATATCTGATTGGTGGTTTGGAACATGAATGGATTATGACTTTCCATTTTGATTGGGAATTTCATCATCCCAACTGACGAAGTCATATTTTTCGGAGGGGTAGGTATACCACCAACCAGATATCATATTGTTTCGAAGATAATTGCAGATACAGAATACTGCTCTGGAAAAAAAAATCTCAGCACTCCTCTCCATTCCAAAAAATCAACAGCAGTGGATCTTTCACCAATGTAAATCACACAAATCTTTACCATCAGTGGATAATTAACGA